CGCATAATCAACTTTGGTGTCAACATTTATTAAACATTACTAACACATCAACAAAGTAGATTTACAATTAACATAAAGGTAAAGTTTGATTTAAAGAAAATCGGATTAGATAACATGACACAAGTTGTAGGAAAAATATTAATTCAATTTCTCGAAATAAAATTAAAATACTAATTAATTTAAATTTCTATCGCTATATAGAAAAGTTTACTTTCCATATTGAATCGAACCCGTGCCCTCAGAGATAGTGACACCGTGAAACGTGCGAGTTACACGGCACTTTCAGCAGTTCTTGTTAAGTTTATTTATATTTAATAAGTACGTAAAACAAAAACTTCTCTAAAATTGCGCTGATGGAAGAGTATGAAATTTGATACAGTTGAAGATTATATAAAAATTCAGAATACTAATATTTTTTATCTAATAATGCTTAAAAGCAATGAGCTTAAACTTGTTAATAATACGTTAAATTTATAAATAGAACATTACACAGACTACCACACGTATGAACTGAATTATCATACAAATAAAGATAAATATGCAGTCTCAACGACAGCCTCCGATAGTAAAACCTAAGGACAATATACTACATCCAAGAAAATCGTATTTATATTCAACCTCATGGTCGTATTTCGATTGCCAGACGACCACTAGTATTATTAATTGCACAATGGTCATCTCTCAGTCCAGGTACGGCAGTAAATCAACGATGTTAAGAATACATTATCATCAATTTATAACCCAAGGAAAGTGGAGCTTTTATATTGTGAAGCAATCTTTTTAGTCATACATAACATAGACTCGTAAGCGGCACTGAGCAATATTAGTTACCTAACAATAATAGCTATAAGTCACTATATAAACAAACCATTTATCAATGTGTGTTTAAATACTTTACATTAATTGATAGCTCAACAAATATGAGATTCTGACAAGGCGTCTTAACTTGTACCTACTCTTAGTATGTAGGTAAATGAAGTCACAATAAATCTCTTTATCTTACCAAAACATTCGCAAATAAAGCCTGTAGACTGTAGACTAACATCAGTATCTATAGTCGAGTAAAATTAATGACTTGAGTAAAAGTTAGAGACTAAATTAATGACTTGAGTTTAGAGTAATTTTAGCAAATATTTTTACCAATAGACGAATATTTGAATGAAATAAGAACTATAAATAGCTAATATTAATATTATTATTAATATTAACACTTCATAGTTCATTTATATATTATTTGTTAAAAATATTTGTCGTATATAAGTTATGCCATTTTCTTAAGTCATTGTTTCTCTCGACTATAGATATGAGTGTCAGTAACTTTTGACCCACACACTGATCGCCTTCCTATTTCTTCACGATGAACTTTAGAATGGGCAGATTATGAGAAGAAAATAAATATAAAGACAACCAAATTACGCAGTGTAGGCGAGTAGTTTATTACTAAACTTCTCACAAAAAATTATTTGAATTTGTCAACAAATATTTGAGAATCATTGTCTTGTGAGAATTACTATGCATCTACAAGAGCAGGTTGCAGTGGTGTGATCATGTCTACTAATTAGCTTTAACTATGTAATTTAGTTTTTAACACTAGCTTTCCGCCGGCGGATTTGCCAGCGTGGTCCCTTTAGGGTGATAAAAAGTAACCCATATGTTAATCCAGGTTTAGAATTTAATTTAATAATTCATTTGGATAAGGTTTAATATTATCATGACACGGATATAATGACAATGACAAATTCAATAGTAAACAATGGTTACTATGGTAGGTAAGATGGGCACAGTGTTACAAAAAAAAAACAAACGTCGTTATGGCGACGAAAATGTTGATTTAATTAACTTTTAACTAACTTAGATATACACTATAACTATCTCTCTTTACTTAGAATTATTAAAACATGACTATAATTAGCAAAAAGCTAATTAAAATTGTATATTAATAAATTAATTCGATTGGAACATTGTGTCCCTATCTGGGGTACTCTGTTGCAGGACTATTTCTTTTATTTTTGGGATTAAATTAAAATCGCAAGGTGCGAGTTTGGGACTAATCCCTCCTATACATATCTTTGCAACGCCATGAAATTAATATTCTTTTCATTTGGTGCCTTTCGAAAACTTATCCCACTTTGGACCATCAGAGTCACTTCTGCCATATTTCGTTCAGTATCAAGACCGTGATCCGTCTTTCTATTACGATTGCTTACCTTTTTTTTAAACAGGCACAAAACAAACTAGAAATTTTCGAGGGCCATTGTTTCAGTGTAACACAGAGCCCCGTTTAAGAATACATGTCAAGTGTAATCTTTTACTTAAATGTCATATGTCAGGATACAATTAAAAAACTTCAATATGTTTTTTCTACGTTTTCTCATCTAAATTATTTTTTAAATAAATATGTGTGATAAACAGAGGTAATGAAAACTGATCTGAGATGGCCATTTGACAGCTTGTCAAAACTGTATACAAACATTAAAAAAAATAATGACAAGGATGGAGGTATGTGCATTGTAACAGTGTGCCCCGTGTAACAATGAGCCCACCTATATTAATGTTTAAATTCTTCCACTCTCATTTTCTTCCCTATATTTGATGTTTTTCAGGATAAAATATATCTATGTCCGCCGCATATAATGTAACTTCTCGTAGGCGATTTTTATTTTAATCGGTCCAGTATTTTCGGTGCCTATTCAATGCAAACAAACAAACAATTAAATTTTTCCTCTTTAAAATATTTGTGTAGATTAAAAACCTACATACTGATAAAAAACAAATACACCCTTATATAATTGAAATAAAACCTAATGCGTAAAATAGTTTTTATTGAGGCAGTTTTTTTATAGTTTCACATTATATGTTCACAAATGTTTTATTATAAGTTTCTAAGCCTATTTATTTCTAATATTGACATGACCCAACTCACGGGCCCAGTGAGGGTTGGTGGGTGTTAATGATAGCAGATGCACCCGGGTCCCGCGGCATTAACGTGCCTTCTAAAGAACGGAGGACCTCGAGATAATAAGTTTTTAACCACCCGTTCGATAATCCGCCATTGCAAAATTTGCTTCTAAACCTTATCGCGGACCGAAAGCGCTAACCCGTGGTAAATATTTCCGCCAATATTTCCATAGAGTATTTTCTAAATATTATAGAAAAGTCAAATTAAACAAAGCCTCTTCTTAAAGCGAGCGGCTAACAAATAAATTACGCCGCAAGTGTGTTTGAATGATTGTTTTACAGTATTATTATGTCCATATAAAGACATGGCTTACTTCGCAACTCCGAATCGATTTATGGTAAATATGCATAAAAACAAAGCATCTTCATTTTTATATGATGAAATTACGACATGTTCTTGTACGTAATGTGCCTTGTCCGCATTCAATACAAGTACGTAATAAATTGCGCCCTTTCCTTTATTAAAAGTCAATATAAATAAGACCTTTACATATTCAAGAAGCGCAGCACCTACCGAAGAACCTATAATTAAAAAATGAATATTGTGAGTTGCAAAAAAAATTATATTCCAAATTGTTTATGGTTGTCACCTTACTACACATACCGCATATATCGTAGGTATTGCTCGTTAGGAAGTTGTTGTATTAATTAAAAGGGGGTGAAAGTCACAAGATTGTATGTCATTAAAAATAGTTAATAAATAAAGTGCTGCATAATTCCCTTTGGTTATAAAGTTACTCCCGTAATTATCAATTATCTCTTTACAAAAGTTATGATTAGAATAACAAATGTTAAAATAGCGATTTTTTTATGGTAAAAATTTTCTATATTCACATTTTGGCTGTGATATACCTCTATGGTGTAATTTTATAATTTTTTATACAGTTTCTTCGGGCATTTTTATAGAAAACATGTTAGTGATTACTATCTGTGTACCCTCTTAAATAAGATGTTTAATGGTTGTTTAGGTAAGTTGGTGATTATCAAAAAATACTTATCTGCTAAAAAGGTGTCAATGTAACTGATTCCTTATCTATTTACTCTTAACTATATCTGTTTTTCAGATAGTGTAAAGCTGGCTTTGTATTATTGTGCAATGTTTCGTAAAACGATGGCCACCTCGATGGACAATGCCGTGACAATCCGCAAGACAAATACTTGTTATCTTATGAATAATGCCGATAATGTTGAGCAAACAAGCGCACACGCGGTCCACTGCATTTTTCACGAAAACAGTATACACAGGGTGTACAATGGTGTTAGAAAATAGCTTGTTTTTTTTCCGAGAAAATATGTTTACTAACTTTGAAACTTAGGATTAGGGTACTAACAATTTTGATTATAAATTCAAAAGTTATGATAATTAATACCATTTTGTTTTCCGTTTTGTAGATGCCATTTAGGCATAAACATATAGATTGTATATTTGTACAGTATTTTAATATTTATATTAGGATAAAGCTTCTCTTTGAAAAATACCTCTTTGAATAAACTACTGTCTTTTATTTAACAAACAGCTTTTGCACTACTGTATTTTTCGACAAGAAATAATTGAATGCAAATTTTTAATGCTTAAGCCGATTATTAATGTATAAGATAACATTATATTAATATATAAGAAAACATATTTATATATCAAATTAATCCAAGTAAAGTTCCCATTAATTTGTAATTCTGACTATTAACATATAATCAAATACACCATCATAAATAAGTATTTTCTAACAAATGATTTTTGTGATCGATTGTATTTACCTAGGTCATTACTCAATTTCGCCTTTTTGACAATACGCAAGCGAGTCTCCGTCGTGAATTCATTACACGGGTGTTACGAGATGGGTGCATGTTTTGTCGAATTACACATGCAGATTGGAAACAGCCTGTGCGTGCGAGTGCGGCAGTGCGGGCACACGACTCACCTAGATGTCCCACCTTATTGTCCACGCGGCCACTGGGCGAGCCCCTACCTCGCCATTACCTCACACATCCAATATTGGGTTACGAGAATTTTACCTCAAGGTCCCCTTTTGGAACAAATAGAGATGGTATATAAATATACAGACGACCAACAATGGGACGCAGTACACAACCAGCTCGCGCTATAATGAATACATCCGTCGTTTTACTTTTGTGCAGTGTTGTGGGTAGGTAAAGTGAAACTGAAAAATAGTGTTTTTTTTATCATAACAGATTTTAACTATTCAAGTGAAATTAACAAAGGAATCTCAGTTTTAATGCATACTACATAGATACCAGTTTTCTCTTTATATTCTTTAATAAACAAATTTTCATTTTACTTTAGGTAGTACCTTAGGGTACTATGTGCAAAGGGAAGCCGCTTACAACACAGGCCCTAATGATCCGTACCCGATTGAAGTGAGCCCGTATCAACTCCAAGAACAGTCTCAAAGATTATTTTGGGGCAATTCGGGCAGTAACCAAGTAGGCGGAACGGGATGGTGGGCTATGCTCACTAACAAATTCCCATTCTTAAACAGCATGTTCGGCCGTATGGAGCTGCCTTCGCAATACGGAGTTCCGAATGAACCTCAAACATATTACGGTGTACCTAATCAGCCCCTATCTACACAATACGGAGTGCCCGCTAGAATCCAGGCACAGTTCTACAAATCCGTGCCATATTATCAACAACAGTCGAACCAATTTCGTCCATCTGCCCGTGACGTAGGCTTAACAGATGACGCAGTGATAATAACACCACCTCAAGTGCCGATACAACCCGCACCAGCTCCAGCGCCTGTTCCTGTCCCGTCACCAGGGCCTGCCCACGGTTACCAATACAATATACCACAACAAAGATTAGAGCTCCCTCATAAATAAATCTTAAATTCTCACAGTGTCAATTAAAAGCCTTAAAAGAAAAAATACACACGTGTTACACTAAAAAAAGTAAGTATGTAATAACAATGATGTTTAAACAAAAACATCAAAATGATACGAAAGTTTCAGTAGTGCAACATTACGGGTATTATTAGATATAAGTTAAAATAAGTACTATCGTCTATCTTAGGGAGCTCTCTTTCTTTTTTTAATGGCGTGACTACATCATATCGAGATTTATTATTGTAAGAATAAATAATACAATCCAAAGAAAATTATGTTAACATTTTATATAATAAAACGAAACTAACTTTAAAATGCTTATTTATTAATATATCCCGATGCAAACATAGAAGCAATGTATAATAATCGTACCTCAAGATTACATATTTAATTTTTTTCAATAAAATTATCACATAATTAATAAACATAATATACCTTATTCCATAACCAGCACCCGGTTTCTGAATTCAGTATTGTCAAACTGTATTTTAACGTTACTTAAGCATGTTTTCGTTTCTGTTTTTTTTTATGATCAGTTGATAGCACGAGGATTATTTGCCTTGTGTTTTTCACAGCTTAAGTTATTGAGAATAAACAGTTGAGATGTTACACTTTTCTCAATTCGGAAATCAGCTGTTAGCCGCGAGAAATCATTTAATAATATGCCTAGATATCAGCAAAACAAAATACATTTTGTTTTATCTTATTAGTTGGAGACGGATGTGTACTGGTCGTAGTATCCTTTTCCCGCTGAATCAACTCCTACAGAGGAACTAGCGCTTACTGATCTTCCAAGGACGACTCCTGATTGCCGACGTGTCTGCCCAACACTAAAATAAAAAAAATCAGATAAAGCCAATAAACAATTATTATCTATGCTAATACTACTAATACTAATATATTATATAGAGAAAGATCTTGATTGTTTGTTTGCATTATTTATTAGGCTCTGAAAGTATTGAACAGATTTTAAAAATTCTTTCACCTAAAAGCTACATCATACGCGGGAAATATATGCTATAAAATTATAGGGTAAATACTCGGATAAAGTTATGGGAAGACAGCAAGCTTATAAAAATCCCGTTTTCCATACTACCATTCTTCAACCTACTACCATATTTCCTTGGAATAAATTTGAAAGACGGTAAGGCCGCTCATAGGGTGAGTGAACAAAATTTATTATTACCAGCTACTCCGTGATTCGTAAGGCACTTTGAACCATTCTATTTTGATTAAAATTGCATTCACAATTAATACAAAATTATTCTTAATACAAAATGCTTCAAAATCCACTTGGTCTCTGGCACCCTGAGATGGGAATCGAACCCATGATCTTTCGCAATCCGGGCGACTGCTCTAACCACTGAGCTACCCAGGACCTAACAGAACTGACGAATCAGTCAAGCACTTGTTACTTTTCGCTACTACAGAGCGTATTCTCATCAATGTTGTAATGTAATGTCATAGTTATCATAGTTTTGCATTTGAAATCGTAAACATACACCAAAATATCGATTTTATCTAATCTGATGAATATCCATTAATATTTTGTCAAGTCATTCTCTGACCGCCAATAAATTGAAACTTAAAGCCCTTGAGTCTATTTCACAGAAATCAAACAATGTAGGCTATACTTATAATAAATAGTTATTAGGAATTTTAATGTTACTTGTTTTTATATATGATGATATCCTACTTATTCTTAGAACAAACTCACCCGTTGTACAAACGTACTATTATACTACTTATTATATTTCATCGCATTTGCAATGAATGCATAATTGATAAAATATAATATTTAGAACAAATTTTCATCTTTGTCGTAAGCTTCAATATTTGTAAAAATATATCTTTCGGCTGTTTGGATAGATTACCTGAACATTGATGAGAATACGCTCAGTAGTAGCGAAAAGGTAACAAGTGCTTGAAAGATTCGTCAGTCTTGTTAGGTCCTGTGTAGCTTCCGGGCCGATCCCGCGCATCGCCCACCATGAGAGGGACATCGCTGAGTTTTAGTGGGTAAACTTCTGTTTCTTGTCTAGCCCCTCCGGGGGTGGGGCCACAGGAGGAGTCCCACATCACCCGTGGAGCCCGCGCAGGGTGAAGCGGGTATGCGTAACGCATTTCTCAGCGTCAAAAAAAAAACCACCTCCTCATAACCTGGATTGCGAAAGGTGATGGGTACTAATCCCATCTCAAGATGCCAAAGAGCAAGTGGATTTTTAAGAATACTTTACTACTTTTAACATCTGAGAAAGTTTATTCTTTTTATTAACAGAAGAAACCTACCAATATTATTCACAATATAATAAGGCACAGGAAAGTAACAGAATATGGAATAAAATAATAGAAAATATTGAACTTCATCAAAAACAAAATAAAATGGTGCCAAGAGGATGTCATATGGCTCGTACCGTCAAAAAAGTTTTGAGATCTTGTGTAGAGCCGATATTAGTGTGTATGCCCTAACTCTACAGGAAAAAAACATTGCTGGGAAATGTTTCATGCACACCCGATCCCCCCTAGCGCGGGGTCGGCGGGTTATGTTGGTCTCTCCACTGCAGACCCACCTAAGAATGGGGCTAGTCAAATAGCAGGGGCAGAACCACTAAAATCTAGCGATGATCCTCGTCCTTTAGGCAATGCACGGGGACATCTCGAAGACCACTTCCCACGCCAATCGCCGGGCGGGTCCCATGCAAACCGGCCGAGCTAAAGACCTTACCCGTCCAATTGGAAGGACCCACACTGGCATAACCCTTTTCTTGGATCCCCCCCCCCGTATGTCGATGTGCTTTACGGTGTCCAGCCCCATGACGCCCCTTCACATCTGCGAAGAGCGGCCAGACAAATCAGGCCGGTCATCGGGGCCCAACCACTCTCGTAATCGTTGGTTACGGCGCTATCGAGGTCCCGCAGCCAGCAAGTAAGTACTCAGTGCATCACCCGAGACCAGTACGGCATGTAACTGTGTGTGTAATGTGTATGTATGTGAATGTAAGTATACATATATGTAGGTGTATATCTAATTGTGTAAGTTTGATTGAATGTAAGCGTGTGAGATGTGTAACTGTGTGTAGTATACAGTATACATGTATATGCGTGAATCCGAGGCCGCCACAGCGGGGCAACGGGACCCCCCCCCCTCCTCTTAACTTTACAAATTCTACACCTTAGTCAAAATATGTGGCTTGGACTTCGGAGGAAGAGTTTGCTTAGATTATTTAAACTATACTATATTAAAAAGTATATAAAAAAATATTTAGAACGTTACGTAGAATTCCAATTATTTGAACATTTACATGCTCTTACATTTCCTTAATTGAATATGATGTTGATAAAGAATAATCCAAAATGTAGTAGCTAATTACCTTACCTCTGTGTACACAAAAACATTTAAGTGAAAATGATTTATCATAAGGAAATTTATTATTTTCAAATGACAATAAATGCTATTAAGTTTAATAAAATTGAAATGAACTTGATCTTTATCGTGTTTCCATTGTGCGTTTTATAAAGACCTATTTATAACGTGTATCTAATGAATATTACAACTACGATTTAATATTATTAGTAAATAGAATCGCTCCATGTAATGCACAATGTTACGGTTTACATTTGTCGTAGTTTTTATTTTCATAAGTAATATTGATAGAATATATTCAATAAAATTACAAATAGATGAGAGATTCAATGAACGAAATGAAATAATTGATTGTGTGACGAAAGTTATAAATCAAATTACTATTGAAAGACAACAATACAATTACGTCACACTCATTAACGTGCCCGAATCGATGGCAAAAGCTCTTCATGGTACAAATCGCAGCTTTTTGTCTCGTACCTTTTCATGGGAAAATGAAACTGCAATTAATTCTATATACTTAATCAAAGTTGAAAACTACAAAGAATTGAAAGAAGGTATAAAACTCACCGGAATGAATTATTTTTGGAACCCACGGGCATATTTCGTTATAGTGGTCAACGAAATTAGTAATGTACAAGATATAGCTAACATCTTGATCAATTATTATATTTTTAATGTCACAGTGATCCACAATAATGAAACTTCTTTCATATACTCCTTTGATACATCGCTCGACTCTTGCAACAGACTCATCAATCCCGACTTACAACCTTATTCATTCTGTTCTAATTACACTAACGAAGAAATATATGATTATGAACCAACGAAAAGTATTCAAAATTGTCACATTAAATTTGTGTCTCATGATTTGTGGCCGTATATAAGTATAATCAACACTGATACGATGGGCTTTGAAGAAGTTATTCTTCAAACTTGGAAGGAAAAGAAAAATGTGACAGTTGAGCTGGTTGACTATGGAGTACCTAACCAATTTGGAGGAGTTTTAGACAACGGTTCATTTCACGGAATGCTCTACTTGATACAAACTAAGGAAGTAGAGGCGGCCATAGGTGGATATGTAATAAATCAAGAACTATCTCGAGGACTCGATTTTACTTATCCTTATATTCTTGATCACAAAATTGTTCTTATCCGTAGAGCGAAACTGTATACCCTTTGGCGAGCAATGATTCACAAATTCTATAAATTAATATTAATAATTGTTCCTATTTTCATGTCACTCGCAATAATTTTAACTTGTTTTTCCAATAATAAGTTAGATGTTTTTTTTAATGTTTTCAACGTTCTAGGATATTTTACGAACAATATAAAAAAATTCAAGACGAATTCTAAATATGGCCGTAACTTAATTGTGATAAATTTGCTGATAACTACTTTTTTGTTTTCTAATATATTTCAGGCATATTTAACAAGTGTCAAAACAGATGCACCGAGAGATGACCAAATCGATGATTTAGGTGATGTACTGAAAAATTATAAAGCATATTTATATACCAAAAGAATGATCGCTTACGATGTATCCGACTTTGACATGTGTTTTACAAAATTAGAATGTCTTAAGAAAATCAAGAAATCGCAGGAAAATTTATACACAGTTATAACCGATACGGATTTCCAAATTCTTATATGGAATATTACAGATGATGACTACTACCTACCACTGTTTAGATTACACGAGCGTGTTGGTACATTATTAAGGACCATAATATTTGCAAAGGGATCACCTGTAAAGGAGTCTTTCGATATTGTTACTCAAAGTCTTTCATCGTCTGGGATAATTTATAAACAAATGGTTGATATCATATATTCAGAAAAATTGAAAGCTCTTTATCGCTTGAAAAGACAGAATTCATTTATACCTTTTACTTTGCACGATATGAAAGGGCCTTTTACATTTCTTTTCAGTGGGTACTTATTATCCTTCGTAGTGTTCGTATGTGAAATTGTTTACAATAAAAGAAGTAAAAATCAGCAAGGTTAGAAATAAAACAGGAACATCAATGCGGTAAAGTAATTATCTGATTAATATTATAATACGATAATATAATATAATTTGCACTTCCGTTAAACTGTTTGCAAGCATTAATAATTATGACGACTGGGTAAAAAAAAATCTATTTAGTTCGTCAGTCAAATAATAGAAAAATATCAGATACCTATATTTTACTTCAATTTAACAAGAAATAGCTTAGATAAGCAAGTTGACGAGTGGGGACACTCGTCCACTTTAACTCACAACGTCAGTTTTATAGAAAACGTACAAAACGTAAAAATCATGTGACATTTAAACTCAATGTATAGCCGTAATTTAATGATTAAGAAAAAAATACACGTTTAATATTTTTCGACAATGTACCTGATAAATGAGTCCCATTTCAGAGTACCTGAAGCTGATAGATTTTTTAAGCATTTTTCATAACAAGACTTTTTAAATTGACCCATGATGGCAAAAACTTGATCTTTTTTCAAAAATAGTAATATATAGTTAAATACATCATTTGATAGAAAATGTTAATGAAACTCATTTTGTTTAATATAAATAATCAATGAACAGGTGTCATCAGCATGGCTGCAATATAGGAACTTTTTTAACTTTGTATCTGAGGTTTATAATTGAAAACTAAAAATAATTATACTATAACATATATATCTGTTTTACCGGCGCCTTTTATATTATTGTATAGATACTCAATATTGTGTCAATCATTCCTATAGCATTTATTACTTAGATTATGTAAGATATATAATATATAATCTAATATTACATCTATTATAATAATATTTTTTGAAGCGATGACAAAATCTACGTTTCAAATCCAATACAAAACTAGATTAAAGACTAAAATAAATACAAGAACTCGTAAATTACATTTATTACCCATGAATATATTAGTTACAATAAATAGTGTCTTCCGGCAGTAGCACGATATGCGCACGCACGCAGCGGGCTCCGCGTGCTACTGGTGGAAAAGTTGTACAGGATGGATGCATGAGCCGACACCATGTAATTAGTCTAGGTTACATCTGCTGCCTCTAGTGCCTAGAAACAGAAACAAAGAGTTAATCACAAATGAGGTTATGCTAATTAAAAACGAAGAAAAAATGTATAAATTAGGATTGACAAAAAAAATGTGAGCTTATTTTAAATTTCCGAAAAAAAAGAAAAAACAACAAAAAAATTGTGAATTAGATTAGTAAATTATTTAGGTTACACGGATGTTGCATACTGTGTCAGACGAGGTTATGAGGGGTAGGGATTTACTCGCTATGCAGATATATAGCCGCTGCGTCTTTTACTTTATCTACAAGACTCACAGCTAGTTGCACAAACGTTCATTAAAATATCATTAGTTTAAAGCAACATTACCCAATCAATTTTGACATTTATTATAGCTTAAAGGCGTCACTAAACCTTAATAGATGTTTGTACAACTGACCATCTACCTATTATATACCCACCCACCAATCCTTAACAGCTCAGTACCTATATCTACCAGGACTATACTCTTTTAACAAAAAAAAAAACAAAACAAATTGAAGGAGAATGTATATAATTCTGCTGACTTAATTTACGAATTTGCCTGATTAGTGATTATGTTTGTTAATGAATTTATTAATTGTACTCGAACTTTCGTAGTGGTATCTGTCGAACCTCCATAGATATTTAAGTTTACATAGTGAGTAACGATTGTAGTAAATGTAAGTGTAGACTTTTTGATGTAATAAAATTGTGTATTAATATTTCTAATTAAAATTTACCCAGTATTACGTGTATTTCATGAATTTCTGATACTACTGCTAAAAGGTGAAATCATTTAATGGTCCATGACTTCTTCAAAATTTATAGTTTCATAGTTTTTAGTACCTAATCAGTATATAGTAGCGGAAACCTGAAATTCTAAGACCAAGTATTTTACTAGTATTATTATTACATAATTATGATAAATATCTGTAAAGGTGTCAACATTAATGACAACGTATCATCTAGAATTCATAAAGCATAAATAAAAAATGTGAAACCATAAAATAGAGAAGAAGGTAAAGTTTTTGATCTCCACATATCGGCCCGTATGGAAAGAACAACTAGTGACCCGACTTGACTGGTAATAAAGCTTTCTTCTGATTACAACATCAGTCTATAAATATTGCCATTGCTAAGGCACAAACCTACTCTATAGATAGGATTTATTAAGAAAATGACCAACGATACAGGTCTAATTGTTAACAACTGCAGATGCAGTTAAATCCATTCGAAGCACGTAGGATAATATTTTTTTTCATACATGATTTGACCGGTCATATGAAGGTCCCTGCAACAGACCTTCGCAATACAGACCGTACATAGTAATCATCCATCCACCAAACTCCTCATGGATGGTAAGCTAGAAGTTGAAATGAAATGAAAATATCTTTATTCAAGTAAGCTTATAACAAGCACTTTTGAATCGTCCAAAAAATTTTTTCCCCTACCACTTGTTCAGGGCGTTTTCCAGCTCTTTATCATAAGTAATGACATTTAAATAAATCATGTCATTACCAAAATAATATGTATTATCACTATAGGTAAAGTCTGTAGTTAAAAGCCTAACCGTCACCGCTAATAATAGTTGCGAAGAATGACTTTAAACAGATACTATGTGTAATTATTGATTTGTGTAGCTATTAATAAGATGATGACAAGAAACAATAGTGATATGGTATTAGTATTATAGTCCGTTATCTCTATTTGATTCCAATCACGGGAAGGCCTCGTTGTAGATGTCGTTGTAGATTTAAGATTGAAGACAAGACACGTTTACAAAATTGGGGATATTCGTCTAGTGGGCTATTAAAATTTTGACCTCTGGAATTCAATAGCATATAAAATATTGTTAATGAATGGCATTTTGAATGCAAAATTGATCAATTATAGCAATTCAATACCCTAGTTCAACATGATATAATGCAATTCGAACTTTGTCACTAAATTGGAATTTAATAAATGATTTTGATAAAAATTGCTTAATTTTTTTTTTAACCCATCTCAGTGTACCGGGACAAAGCGGACTTTTAGCATAATAGTGATATCATTCTAATATAATAACATTACCTTTTTTGTATTAATTCATTCAGAATATCAGTTCTCTAATCGTTCATTGGTTATTTTCACAACCTAACGTGCTTTCAATTCGCGATTTTATACAAAAAAAAATCATCAGAGTAAATCAGTGATGACCCTAATATCATCGTTAGTGTATATCCATTTTTCATACAAAGAAACACAAGGAGAACAGTCCGTAATCCTCCACATATGCCGAATGCAGATTAATGAATACTAATGACTGCAGATGCAACCAAAAGCAATAAGAGCTTAACGTGTAAGCACGGAGAAATTCTAATGATATCAAATTTTTGCACACCCATGCGCTAAAGTTACTTAACTCTGCAATCGCAAACTAAAAGAGCTTACCACTGCCCCATAAAACCCCTCACATTTAAATGATCTGAATATTTTCTATGAACTATAAATTTCCCAAGGGAAAATAACAAAATCTTTTAAGAAATTAAAGAATAAATGATGTTCCGTAATATAACACAATTCACCTTAGGACGTTAGGATTGGATGCGCCATATCCTCCCATGCCGGGGGGAGCCCAGCCTCCATCTGCTCGGGCGTTAGCGTTGGCATTAGCGTTAGAATCACCGCCATCTGGAATACATAATGAATAACTTAAGCACATAAAGACAAATAAAAAAGGAGATGAAATCAACCGGCCATTCAATAACACTAACTGACTTCTACATCTAAAAAGGAGGTTTTTGCGTTCGACAGGTGTTTAAGTGTTTTTTAATGTGTTCGCCGACTACCGGGCAAATTGAAGACCAATTATGAAAACCTTTTTCATTTGAAAGCTACATTATATGACGGTGTTGAGGTGATGTCATAAAATAAGATAATTTGTTAATATTACTGTTATTGGCGAAGAGGACGACGAGGAATTGGTGTGGCGCAGGTGTGAAAATAAATCCAATTAAGAATCTTCACAAAACTATTTAATATCCACAAAAGCTAGGGTCCTCGTCAAAAACACAGGTGTCAACCAAAATTTAGAACAATATGTCAATATCAAAAATCAAAATTAAATAAAAATCATATATAAACATAGAAAACGTATAAAAATAGGTCGGTCTAGCTGAATATCCTCGACAAATACCCTAATAACATTTTTTGTTAGCCCAAAGCTGGGCCTTAAATAATTCGTTTTACCAAAAATATGGACCAACCTAAATTACTTCATAACCAAAACTATACTATCATTAATATTTCTTAATCGCAATCCTTGACTACAAAGTGATTTTCCTCTAATATAAGAAGGTGTATAGTTAAAAAATAAATGGTATGGTAATAATGGTAATAATGGTTTAAAGGTAATCTGATATTTTTTCCTATAGAGAAAATTGAGTTTATTTCCATTTTAACACGGACATTATTAAATAGCTTTTCTTTTTTATTACAGCTTCGACTTACTTTAGTTTTGTTACTTTAGTTTTACTTTACTACTTAAAACAAAATATTTTCGATTAAGGCGTCCACATCATACAAACAAAAAACTGAATAAAAACATTCAAATTAAACAGATATTACGATTATAAAATTAAGTACTATATTACCGTAATGTGAAAAATCCACGTTACAGTAATTGATATTTAATTATGTTTAATAGAAAATTTTATAGAAATATCTTTTTTCTCAGAAGAATATTTTTGTTATGTAATTTTCTCTACTTTTACTACACCTTTTACACTTGTAAATGTTCTACGATTGAAAGTGTCCTAATTGAATATTAATAGTCTCTACCAAGATCTAACGGTTCTACTATTTAAGAAGAAAAAAATAGAGCACTGGGTACTTTATAAAGTTGTAATGAAAGTAGTTTTGATCGAAAACTTTTTGTAAGCGTCTACAACTCGAGTTGGACCGTTAGGTCAACGGTGCTGGTGCTATGCATTAGGGCTACCTACTTTGATAAAAATATAACTACTAGAAGAACTTAAAAGACTTGTTGATTTTAACAATAATATCATACCTAACCTAAAGTTATGGTACAATTATTTCATTCAAGTTACAGCTGATTACGAATAAAGATTAAATATTTGTATTCTTCATAGGAATTACAAGTAGATACAGTATTTTTACTTTGGAATGATTGTAAGTCTTTAACTGTTAGAATTTACTTAAGTGTCCCCGCCTTTTTTTAATTATTCAAAAGGTTTTAAAATCCCGTTTTACCGAACAGTAACTGACAATGCTTAATGATAATGATATGATAATAGGTTGTATATCGCTGAAAGAGATACTGTATTTTTTATTCAAAAATTCTCACTGAAATAGTCACCTCAGAACGTGGTCTGGTTAAACTAGTTTGTAAATAAAATTAATCTCGAAGCGTCTTTGCAACATAAAACTTATTTTAAAAAAATATCAAGATTTTGAAATTCAACATTTTGGTGGAAAACCCTCTAATGTACCGACTTTAAAAAAAGGAGAAAACGATTTTCTGTTTATTATATAAATAATATACAATTTGATACTATTCTATTTAATTTTTTTTTTCAATCCATTGAAGGAATCGTTAATAACCTTTTATTTATCTACATATGATTTTAATTTATTATTTATATAATCAAGTGTTAAACAAAACAATTAGATCACGTGATATATGCCTTTGCGTAAAATTGATGGTTTTCATTCATGTACTGCATTGATTGCTTGTTTATAAACAGGAACAATAAAACAATAATTTGAATGTCGATCACAAGATAGATAAATTCTATTTAAAATGGAAAGACTGTCCCGAACAACTGTTAGCATGATCTACTTAACAGTTCCAGTACGTAATTACAACTGTTCATAACATTCCAATGTGAGTTGCATTTAATATTTTGTCTGCAATGAGAGACAAGTCTGATGCGATCCTACGTTTGACGTGATAAGAAACTGAATGTTGTTCAACTTAAACCAACTAATAATATCTGATATCTTAATTATGATAAGTATAAGTTAAAATAAAGAGACTTCTCAAACAAATCTTGTTTTTTTTTTTAATCAACGGGGATTTGTTCGCCTTGTACTATTCTTTTCTGAAAGAAAGCTAAAGTTGGTTAGAAAAGGTTTAAATATTTTTAAAACACTTTTTAAATGGTTTTCAAACTTTGTTTGAGTTTTTATAAAAAAAAAAACCATATTTATTGGAAAGATCTTTATAGAACTTTCTTAGAATGTTTGTCGCTTTTTAAAAAGTGTTACATAAAAATCGGAACATATAGTCATAAAAATAAGCTTAATTAATTCCTCGCCCCCTTTCCTATTTGAATTCAGTTGATAATGAAAAGTCGATAGCTAAATTATTAACAGAATTTTATCGTAAAAGGAATAAACTCAAGGCTGCTGGACAATATAGATAATTATATTTGGTGATTGACAGTAAGGTTATGTATTCAAGTAAGATTATTGAATTATATAAAATAAATCCTATTGAAATGACTAAGAATTAATAACCCTTCCTTTAATAAAAAGAAGCGCTTGACCTTATATCACACATTCGCATAACCTTTCTCTGTGATCAAAACCTTGTAAGATAAAATAATTATTATTTTAAATAAAATTAGATGTTTCCCTCAACTTCACTCATAGATGAATGTCTAATATGTTTATTCAAATAGATATAGTTGAAGTAAAAGTGTGTTTTACCTACCATAAAGAATACTTATAATAATGAAAATTAACTTCATAGGCGCTGGTTATACTTAATATCTTTCACATAGCAGTATACTCTTTGTTAATCTACTAATATTAGTATCGTCTATGTTATAGTTTAACCTAAAAATTTGGTTAGGGTAAATTTGAAGAATGTAGAAGCTAGAGACCAGATTTTAGCACATTGGACGTTGTTCCTTTTGGACACTGGAAGACCAAAAACAATGTAGTGTCCTTTATTATAATTTGTGTTCATTTATGTATGAAGATTATCGGAGGGTGGAATCAGAAGCCATAAAAACGTAAAAAATGTAATGAACGTAAAGACGGTGCCTTGTGGCACTCAATCGTCTCTCCTACCCTAAAAAGGATCCGAAGTAAAAATATAGATAATTTATAGATTTTTTGGTTATTGAATATATATACTTACGAGCTGCAGCGTTAGCATTCGCATTGGCGTTAGCACCACTAGCGTATGGGTAGGGGTTGAACGAGCGCCGCAGACGTCTCAGCGGTACTGGTTGTGATGCATGTCCCTCAGTGTCGATGGTGTAGTATGCGCGAGGCACGTAATACTGGCCTTCTGAATATTTAAAAAAAACTTTTCTTTAATTTTAACATTTATAAGACAAAAAAAGACATGCAGCATAAAGAACTATCGTCCGTTAATCACGTGAGGCTCGAAAGGCGGTGGAGAGAGTTTGCAAAAAATCATGAAATATCACGTGGAGGGTGTTGTAATATATCACGTGTATTTAATTTTCCTCAAATGCGCGATTACTACACCGAAAAGCGAAGTCAACAATTCTTTTGTAGGTATTAAAATATACGTGATTTTTTAGTTTTAAACCTCACCATGTAACACCAAGGGGAGGGAGGGCTTAAAAATTCTGAAAAAATATCACGTCATTAATGGACGACGCCTTATGGTATTAGTTAGCAGTTTCAGAAGAATAATATCCCAGAGTCTTTACCTTTTAGCAACGAAAAGTGTCTTATTTGGTGGATTTATATGTAGTGAGAGAAAAAACTTGCGTGGACTCTAGATTGAATGGTGGGTGAAGAGACTTGCGAGGGTACGTGGGCGCTCTATCTCTATATCTATCTAGCATAGTAAGAGAAGCGGGATCGCGTTTTAAGCCATTCTTACTCTCTGTAAGGACCAGCTGGGGTGATAGGAAGTTACCGCTGCATTATACGACCTCGACTGACTAAAAAGAGGCACCCGATTTACTCCAAATTCTCCACCAATAAAGGGATCAAGCATCTCATTAAAGAGGTAAATATCCCGGCGAACAGATGATCAATCAGGGTTTTTGTTTCCCTGGTTTCATACCTCATGATAGGGTATGCCGTAGGAATTGAATAAAACCAAAATATGGACTAGTATTTATAATTCAAATAAACAAAATTGAGTTTGGTAATTTTCAGGAAACGTGTTGCGATGAGCACGTTTTTTGCACACTTGCCAATTCAATAAGATTGCAATTCTGAACTAGAATTACGTTGGATGGAATTGAAACAATGTTCAAAAGAATGTGGTAAATTTGATTCTCATGAATATCCGACTCCAAAACTCTTTATTTAAATAACCTGCTTTCTCATTTGCAGAATGACTATATTATATACTATTATATATCACTCATATACTAGACTCTATGACTATATTCCCAACATAGAGCTTGTTAAATATACCGAATACAAGAGTATTAAAACGCAAAAATCCCAATTACACAGAACAGCTTTGAGATCATCGATTTCATCATTTTTTTCTTCCGGCCTCAGAAAATCGTGATCAAATAACATTGATGCAGTCATTAATAACGCACGTGTAAGCGATAGTTCCGCTTAAAAGATGCTAAATTTGACGATCAATGAATATGAACTCTTAAACAAATATTCCTAAGAAAATAACTTATATTACAAAGTTCAATTAGTAACTACAAATGTATAAGCATATCATAGGTGAAGTGAAAATCATTTTTAACTAAGATCCATCCAGTATTTTCCATTTCCCGCAGGTCATACAGAAATAATATTAATTTAATTGTTCTATTGGTGATACAGAAATTATTATTAGTTCCTGTGTCTAACTATAATATAGAAATATCGTTTACTTTACATACACACAACAGCACGTCAGGTTACCACTATATGTCGAATTGCCAATATTAGTTTTGAATTCTACCCTCAACACATTAAGTTTTAAAATGTAATGGAAAATTTTGTTAGTTTTGTATAATTTGTCGTGCTGTTTGTTGACTGTATATGACCGCACACTAAATGTTTATGTTTTAGGGTAATGTTTGTTTATGATAAGTTATACTGTTAAGAAATCTGCATGCTGCGACTTTAGGTCATTGAATATAATATAGAATATCATTTAATTAAATTAATTTACGAAAAAACAGTTAAATGTTATATTTAAGTGAACATTTTCGAACAAAACTTTATTTAATTATCACCAAATTTCATGACTTAAACGAAAATATTTACATAAAACCAAGTGATCAAAACAATATTGGCTAAACTTCATAAACTTTATAATTTTTTTTATATTTAAAATAATAACGTACACATAGATATGATCATTAATTAATTTAAGAAATATTTATATTGAAACCTCTTCGTAAATTTCTAACTAAAAGAATAAAACTGTTTACAAGCTCTTTGCGAACATAATGATGTCACGTCCCATACAAAAACCGCAATGATGGTGCAGAAGCTTCCATTGTGACTGATTGAAAATAGCTCTATAGGAATGACGATATGAAATGCAATTCTAGACCGACAATGGTGATGACAAGAAATAAAAAACTAACCTGCCAGTACCACCACCGCCAACGCAACAAAGACGATAAGAACTATTCTCTGCATAACGGACGGTGTTTCTCGAGTAACGTTGTAAGAAAACTGGCTTTGAAGCGTTCTCGAGCACGCTTATAAAGCTACAGCAAAACGTTTCTGCCGCATGCATCACTCACTGCTATAACGGTCGCTAATGCAAAAACGAGCTGATGTACTGAATAACACCAAAAATTGGCAATGTTCTGTTTCAATAAAATAAGGCGATATTTAGGTGTTTGATATGAAGGTGGTCTATTAAAACTGTCACTAAATATAATATAAGTTGTTATTGAAACTATTACGAAATTTTACTTTCATAAATAGGTACAGGTACTCAAATAAAAAAGACCTACTATGTATTTTATACTCAGAAGTAGATTACTGATTTGTATGTTTTTATAGATATTATTTCAACTCTATCTAGTCTATTGCATTTGACCTAATACCTAATGATAAGTATAACATTGAAACATCTATTATTATTATTCTGAATTTTGCACTTACAATGATTTCTTAATACCACGTATTTTTAGAAAAAAATATTGATTTAATAAATATTTTTTAACCAATTAAAAAGGCTTTATCATCCTTATTAGAACCAGTGGTCATATTCGAAGTTAATTACCACATAAAGAAAAGATTGTTTTGAAATTGTGTTTTATTTTTTCACATAGGTAAAACTAATAGAATAATTACGGAATTGATACTAATTCCTAAGTACTTGACACAATCTTCATATTTATCCCGAGAAATCAACATACATCATGTTTCGTAGTAACGTTCACTATTTAAGAGCTACACGCTAGGTATCCAAGTGGAAATAATGTAAGTTTGTCAGAGTTCGATTCTCGAACGGAGATAGTTTGTTTTAATGTTTGAATGCAGTTTTTATTTTCACTAATGACATGAATCCTTACAATAAATCCTTGTATGTTTTATAGTTTCAGACTTTTCCAAACTAACCGTTGCTAATGTTACATTCTTTATAGAACCCAGCACAAAAGTAAGAAATAAAAAAGAAATTGACCGACTTTAAAAAACTTAAACAGTGAAAACTAATACTTATCTACAAGACGGTTGGTACCTTCATGAATCTTCTATTATAGTCGGGCAAATAATATTAATAAATCTTAACAATAGTATAATTAAATATTACCTACGTATTATACATAAAAAATAACCATGTGTGTAACCATATTATAACTAAATTTTCTTACTTTATTTTCTTTATTTATTTACTACTTTTCTTACTCATTATACATATCTATTTTTCCTTCCTTTATGGCGTCATCATACAAAGAAACATAAATGCCCAAATATGAATTAAAAATAAAAACAGACGATGAAAATGTATTTTATTAAATAAGTAGTGTACCTGAAAATATAATAAACTATGACTACATTAGGCAAAATCGATTTTATACGATATCAATATCTCTGTTTTCTAGGAACAAGAGGCAGTGCTCTTACAGCAACGGATATCACAATTATAACTACTAATTACACGTTCGCTATATAATAGACTAATGATAATGACATAAAATAAATTTAATTAATTAACATAGATAACGAAAAATTACTAAATATAATTGAATGGTCTCGTATAAAAGACATCAACGCGTGTGTAACGTAAACTTTTTTAAACTTTTTTTTTTAAATATATTTAATGCGATTGTTTTGTTATTTTTTCTGAATTATTGAAACAAATAATTATTGTAAGTCATTGCAGGTTTTATATTTTACGAGTTCTCAGGACTATTACAAACTGAAACAACTCTACAATTAATTTTATGAATATAATTTATGTTCATATTGTACTCCAACTCTTTATTGCTAACCTTAATATCTAGTCCATGAATATATTAGACATAATGACAGATAAATAACGACAATGTAGATGTTCAGGTTAACAAAATATTATAAAGGACGAAATTCGTAATTTTAATTATACCTACTTAGATGAAGTATTCAAATATGGAATATAAATATTAAATTCCTTTTTAAACTATTCCTTATAGAGAAAAAATTGAAAATTGATTACAATGTAAATGGTGAATTTTTAAGAAAATTTTTAAGAATTATTAATATTATATGTTATTTACATTTAATTACATCAATAAATTACAATGTAAGTTAAATTACATATTAAATAATAGATAACATTTATATGTTATATGTTTGTATACTTATATTTTTTTCTGTCTTTAGCCTTAGTAATCCAGTCTTAATAGTCTATGCCCATTATTTCATAGATCCATCTTTTTAAGGTGTGAACATATCAATTAGTCTACCAAAAAAATTCACCATCACTTTACGGGTTCACTTGAGTTATTTCAAAATGGTATCAAAATTAATATAAATAATAATTTATAAAATAATTTCAGTATTCCATTTTAGATAGACCATAATAAATTTCAATTAGAATACATGTATGCGTGTAGCAAATACTTCTTTGTGTGTGTGTGTATAAGCATTACTATTGAAAAATATTATCCGTTTGCACTTCTCCTACATATTGACTATAAGTGTGCCAAATTTCATACTCTTCCGTCCTCGCAATTTTCGTCAAAAGGGGGCCAAAGTTTTCTTCACGTAATAATATATAGATATACATATATGTATCAATATTTGTTTACTTTCCTATAAATTAAACCAATATTGTACCTAATTGTTATTACTATTGTCCTGTCAAACGCATTTTAGCAAGTTGTTTAAAGATTGAAGAAATAAATATACTACCTAACAATAAGCTGCGTGATTTTGATTAAATTTGCTATACGTTGTTGTACAAAACAAATTATTTAGTAACTCCTCAATTTTTTTTTTCTCATAGTGAATTTTGCTTGAGCATGCGGTGGTATCGCACATATATGAATATGATTTATACGTAAATATAAGACAATATCAAATACATTGCTCAGTTGGTCAATTCTGCTAATTTCTATGTAATACTATCACTATTGTTTTGTGAGGAAGTATTAATTTACTTAAAACCACTGGTGAAAACAATAAGTCATTCGAAGATTGCTGGAGTACATGAGTAGGTATTCAAATTTTCTTTAAATTGTAATAAAATTACACCTCATACTAGTGTAATACCATCACATAATTTTTCTACTACTGCCAACTGCTGTTTTTGCTTGTCCTGTATTTTCTGTCGTTCACAAGTCATTCATTAATATATATTTTACAATCAAAATTTATTTTTTATTTGTTACAACCAATTTACTTTGACACTCCGAGCGCAACTATCGATGCAATTAGATGAAGTGTACCATCTAATAATATCCCGCCCGCATGGTGGGTCATGACCCTCTCTCCCTATTCAATTCGATTCCATCTAAAGGGAAAGCCTAAGCCCTGGCAGTGTGGACATTAACAGGCTGGTGATGAATGGCAGAAGAGGCATTTCACGCATCTTCAAAGGCGTTAGCCCACCCAGTGACGTAACTATACCGTTTGCGGCCCGTGGCAATTCATTGGATATTCATTTTTTTTTTTACTAATTGCGTAATAATAAATGTCAGGAGTAAGGAGTCTCCTCTGACCGGGGGCCCCCATCTAGCTGGGCCGTAGCAGTTTGCCGACTTGCCTCCCTATAATTACGCCACTGGGCCTACCTTATGATTTTCGTTGTGGTCATGACTCATTTACATTAGTAGAATACGGAGGTCCGAATGCAGGGTGCGGACGATTTCTGTAGTCGAGACCCATTTTCATTGATCGGTCATTAACTTTCTTTAGTTTATCGACCAATAAAATAAGCTCATAGAAATCGCTGGACTCCGCATGCGAACCCTGTCGCCCAAATGTATCAGCCATCAGCCTTTATAGTACTCGGAATCAGTATGTATAATTTTATGACTATTTCGTTTAAACTGAAAGAGGAATTCATTAAAACAAAATAACATATTCTTACAAAATTTATTTTGAAATAAAAATAACATCAAGCTTTTCAAAATTGACAATTTTTACGAAAATTATACAATAATTTATGAGCACAATTTTACATTAGGAAGAATAATTTCATCGTGTGCCAATCTCCACAAGATTGCAACAACAAACATGGATCGAATCTCATGATTTAACACAACACTTGGCCAATATTATATCCATACTAAATGAAGAATAATTTCAATATAATAAAAATTCAAGAGCACCAAAAGATTGTCAGAATATAAGAAAATTAATTAAATTGTTAAATACCCATTATAACAAATTTAATTTATTAAAAATATAGTAACCTTATAAAAAATAATATTATATTTCAATAGCATCATCTGTACTGGAATATATTTAAATCAGTATTTAAAATCAATATGCAAAGTAAAAATGGAAATTTTCATCATTTAATGTGTATGAACACACAGTACTTTATAATCCTTACTCAATATATTCATATAAACAACATTTTAACCTAGATTTTTTACACTTTAGGAGATATTTTACAACCCTGTATCCACTATACTTTAAATGACAATAGTAATGTTACGCAGTCTAAACGGGGGCTTTATTGTCTAACTTATCGCAATCACTCTTAATTTGACATTTCAAAGATATTCACGAACTACACACTACAACTATTTGAAAAGTAATAGCGATTAAGATCGCGACCATTTTGAAAAATATTAAATTAATGATATCATGAATTTAAGGTGAATTGGAACTGTCAATTGGAAGCGCCAAGGCTTAAAACCGGTTCAGAATAAACCGTTTTTATTTAGGTAAAACCTGTTCTCTTATAATGTTCCGTTCCGAGCCGGAACTAAATGCGGAGTGAAATTCGGATGGAATAAAAACCGGTTAATTTGCTTGGTTCGTAAAAAGCAATGTTCTAACGCTTTTAATGCGAATTATATCATTTTTAAGCGACGACATTTATCATACCTGTGTACGGATGTTATAGATAGGAGTAAAGGCACTTAAAAACCGCGCTGAAGTTTGTGAGATCATTGTTTGGAGTCGTATTTAAACCGGTTAATGAAGAAAACCGTATTTCTAGTGAACCGGTTTAAAAACCTGTTCTAAGGAGCTGAACCTTTTATGAAAAGTTTCGCATGTACTTACGTCGAACCGGTTCAAAAAATTAACCGGTTTCCAAGCCCTGGGAAGCGCTAAACAGAAATATTACTTTAAAGCTATTGAGAAATGACAAACAGCAGTCCTTTGATTCTCATTCGTTACGAAAGCGATTGCGATATTAAACGTTACATAAATCCATAATTTGCTAAAACAATCGCTATACCTTTGAAAGTTATTGCGATAGATTTTAAAATTAGACAATATTAGCCCACGGGTATTACTCTCGATAGATTTAATCAACATATTCGGCTATTTCACATTTTAAGCTAAGACAAACACTGTCGGTATTAGTCATGTATACAATGAGACGCGTTGTTTTAACGGCGCTGAAGGAAACTTAATTATTAAATGCTATTATATAGTATATGTTTGTGCTTGGACATCGGAGGAAGTAAAAGGGAAGAAATTATAGTTTAGTGGAAAGACTGAATAGAGACGAGAAACAACCTAGAAATAGAAAGTATGCCTAGGGCTCACTTGGCCTTGGCAGACTGCCGCTGCCGCAATGTTTTGTTCGTGTTCTGATCCACCTCAGGTAAGTCCGATTCCTCCACGGGAGTTTTCTTCACTGTTGCACAAAAAAAACATTATAAATCAATACAAAAGTTTTTATATAACTATATTAGCACTACTGTGTTACTATACAAGATGTATTCGTACATTTTTATTAATGCGATATTAATTTGATATTAATTTGTTAAAAACAGTAAAGTACTGAATATTTGTTTAACCTTTTTCCTTTTTAGGCTTTTCTTTCTTCTCCTTCTTGGGTCTAGATTGTGCCTGTTGACGGGACTCCTGTCTCTGCTTAATTGTCTCGGAAATGAAGTTGTACATAAGATATACCTGTCAAATTAAATTCAAATAAAAATTCGTTAGAAACTAATCAAAATATATTATAGTTTCGTTCTAATTAACTTCATAATATATACAGAATCACAACAGATTTTTTTTTAAGAACTTCTCAAACATATTACATCTAAATGTTCATTCCATTGCATAGTATGAATGTAGTGTAGTCAAATTCATATCAGATTTAGTAGACTGGAATGGTTAGCTATTGCTCTTGGATATGACTGCTTGCTGCTATTATAAAAGCTGCTTTAGGGCAGCCATTTATTCGACAGATAAATTTGATCACTCTGGTAAATCAGTACAGAGCTTTGTTTAAGTGCACCATTTGGTGATAAAAAAAATTCAGCCTATCAAATTTTCTTTATTGATAGTACCCAAACTATCGAATGTCTTAAAATCGAATTGTCTGTCTTAAAATAAATTTATTTTATAAACTATAGTCATTATAAAAATATAACAGAAATCAGGAATAAAATAAAAGCAAAAATAAATATATTTTTTATGAAAAATTTTGGTGCAGAAACAGCAACCTCTGAGCTCTCTCTGGCAAGTATCTTAGGTTTTTGTTCATATAGGTTTCTGCTTCCAAATTAATTGTTTGCTATATTAGAAGGAGTACTTAGAAGCACTCTAGCTGAATAAAAATAATTAAGCCAAATATAGGGTTTGGTAAAAGTTAAACTAAAAACTATTTGATATTTGGTTATTCTGTGAAAAGTACATCAATAGTAAATTAATTTAGTAATAAATCGAGTGTTACCTGGAATGAAACGAGCACGAATAACGCAGCGTACCGCAGTGGAAGCTGCGCGACTCCAGCGAGACCAAAGTGGAAAGTGAGTACGCCCAGTACAAGTGAGCACAGACGCACCGCCACGAATACCACGCCGTTCACCACGCCCAAAACTGAGTCCGACAACACCAATTTTACTAACACAGAAGCATAACTAAAGCTATCATCACTAGCCTATTAATGTCTCCGCTTCCGCGGCCCAGGCCTTCCCTGTGGGTCACCAACCATAATATTGTTATTTGCATAGCGCCACCTACATCAATACCAGGAACTAAGGTAACCAACACAATAATTCTGCTCAATATAAATCATGTGTACTTGAAAAACTGTTCTTGAAAAAGATATGATATCTGAAATATGGGAGACAAAGACTGACAACAGACACCAAATTAGCTATTTATGATAGTTTTTTTATTGAATTCCTGATATTTCTGGACTGTTACATGATAGCAATCCCATAAATAATTATCATTTTAATGAAAATGACCATGAAGTTCGAAATAACATATTTATGATGTAATTTGAAAGATAATAGATCCGCTGTTTATAAAAATATACAATTCTAACCTCGTAAAAAACTACTCATTCTTATTAGATTGGTCAGAGAATTTATTAAGCTATCCAAAGCAAAAAATTAGAAACATATTTTTTTATACAATCCTTTTTGTTTTTTGAGGGCAGAATTAAAAATATAAAACTTACATTTGTCTAACACATCTTCACGTTCTCCCCTGAGAATAGTATTCAGGCGGTAGCTATGTGCAACAAATTCACCAAGCGAGTGGAGCACCACTAAGCTCACTCCAACACGTTGGAATCTTAAAACAACAATTTATCTGTTTTTAAAGTATACTCCATTAAAAAGTACCGTTAAATTAAATTAAATTAAATCGATCTCTTAAGTCAAAATTCAGTTTATAATGCCAACTTATCTAAAAAAAGGTACAAATACTTACTTGAATCCATAAGCAACAGCAACAAAGGCAAAAGCAACAGCTGCATGTCTTATTCTGGCAGCCCATTCATCTTTCTTAATGCGTTGGAAATACAACTCTGGGATAGTGTGCAACCAATAAGCAGCTTGCACAACCCACCACAGCTTCAATAAGAAACTCATTGGATGATCAGGATAACCTAAAATATATAATTTTTTAAGGATACTACTATACACAATATTATTCACATGAAATATAAGCTGTTTATAATATTTATTTCATATTTTATTCAAATTGCACTAGATCTGCCTGATAAGATATGGATTATCCAATGAGTTACATAAAAGATAAGTTTTCAAGAGTTTATATCATATTAGTTTTGTAATTTATGTAATAATGATATACTTTTATTGATATTTAACAGAGATTTTATAAAGATTATTAATAATAAAATATTGTATTTGTCAATATTATCTTTCAGTAACAGATCTTATTATTATGTACACACCATCCCATAATTTTGATATGTTGAAGACAAATCCTTCACGAAGAATAGCATCACCTCCCCACAGGACAGTCACCAAGTGGAATACAACCAGCTGTCCAGATTCATTAAGTGCACTAAGCCTCGATTTGGAGAGGTGGAACTTCTTTGATATTTTCTGCAGTATGTTAACAAGGCTATTTAGTAACAAAGGGATATGAATGTTTACCACAAAACAAAAAATAACCTCGATACTTACGTCAAGGAAGTACTCCTGAAGGATGGCATGCATAACAATGCAAACGAGTGAGTAAAAGATAACAGCACATCCATCTTTCCATCCTGATTCATATGTGAAAGGTTCTCCTTTTGGCGCCTCTCTCGTAGGCTCAACTCCACTGACATTGTGATGCAGACTAATAAACAAACTCGCTATAGGGCTTGTGGACTGCAAAAAGGAATAATAGCCGTTATGATAACAATTTGTTACGGTTTTTGGACATTAATAAATTCGTGTACGTGGCATTAACTACTAACTCACCTGCACCATCAATCCCACTAAAAAAACCATAACAACACAAGAAACTATATCGGCATGGTTCTGAATCACAAATTCATGACTTAAAATAGGTGGGTTCTTGTTAGATTTCCTTCCAATAGCTGGTTTTACACCCATTTTTCCGGCAATAACCTAATTCTGTAATTATCAATGTTATTGTGAAAGGTCTCAAAATTGATATATTGTTATAAATGAAAAGTCGTACATGCAACTAAATGCTAATTGAAAAATGAAAGTTTCACATACCAATATGTCGACAATAAGATTTTACACCGAAACAAAAATAATACTAATAATCTGACAAGAATCGTACCGACGTGACACTTTCACTTGCTACGCGACAAAAACGTCAATTCCACAGTGGTTCACTTATTGTTGTGTTGGCAAGCGGATATGCCAACTAACAGCTTCTCTTTAAAACTTCTCTAGTCTGTTAACATAACATTACGAACTTTTGTGGCTTGAATAGATAAGAGCCGTTCAATGTACGTTTTTCTTTATTTAATTATAATTTTTATAATTAATATCAGTTCCTATAAATTGTAATAAACAAAAAAATGTGTTCCGTAAATCGGGCATATTTTTCTAGACGGGCAACCAGTGTTGCCAACCCTTATTTAAGAAAATTTGTAGAATATGTTCCGAAAATCGGTAGAAATTAGTAGAATCCAAGATAAAAATCGTTAGATCTACCACCTTAATTTAGTAGGTTTTTGACACGCTTATATTAGTTTCACTTGTATGTATGTATGTTTGTAACTCTCGTTTGCGCGCGCATGCTGCTTTTCTGAGGCTTAGTTGCTGATTTTCAGGCTCCCTCTCCGGAATCGAACCCTGATTTGTCGTTACCCTTTACAACCATGGTCGGGTAAGTTAACTCTCCGTCGTCTCTCATGAGATGATGAGAAAATGAGCGGAAATTCAGAATTACTATTTTCCTCAAGACATATATTGTAAATTAATTTGTTAGTTATTGATTTTTTAGTTTTTTTAACTATATTTATTTAAATAAAATATATATAGTTAAAAAAAAAACTAAAAAACACGCTTTTATAGCATACGAAACTAAAAAGTAAAAAATAAACATAGTAAAAAAACACGTTCTTAAAAAACATTGACCTTAAAACTTAAAAATTAATTTCGAAAGGAAGCTTTAAAAAATGCACTAGCATTATTGTAAAAAAAAGCGTTTTACTATAATACAAAAAAAGTTTTTTTTTATTTATTTATTCGCCATTGAATAAGTCACAAAGCTATACCACCTCATCCTTCAAATCCAAATTAAGAAAATTAAAAACACATATTACAAAATTTTCAAAAATAGGTAGATTTAAGGCTTAGGTTGGTAGACAGGTAGACTGAGAACAAAGTAGGTAGATCTACTTAAAAGTTGGTAGATCTGGCAACACTGCGGGCAACCTCTCTTCTGTGGGGTGGATGTGGTGGACACAAATGTCAAATTAAACTGGATTGTGCAATGTTTCATTAAAAACAGGCAGAGTGAGAGAGTAGATTAGTAGATTAGTATCTCTGTCTTAGTAGTTTTGTAGGATGTCCACGCGTTTTTAATAATTTCTAAAATAGGTAATATTTAATACTGTTACATGACATGACGTGGTGGATGTAATGAGAAAGTATTAATAAAAACGAAAGCACTAAAGCACCATTAGATGACGATTCTAGCAAAAGTTGATTTTTGCAGGAAACGAATGGACCAAAGTCAGTCATTTCCATTCCTTTTAACTAACATATTAAAAAACTGAAATTCGAAAAATCCGAAACTTAGATATCAATACAAATACGAAAAAGTACAAATAGAATATGAGTTGTTTATTTAGTTTTGAAAACTAATTTACTTTTAAACAAAGAGCCGGAAGGGTTGTCATGCAGAAATCAAGAACGTACCGTAGCGACATCTAGTTTTATTTCGGGAACTAAGTAAACTAGTATTTAAAAAAACAACAGCACTAAAAAAGCACCTCCACTAGATGGCGACTCTAGCAAAAGTTGATTTTAGCAGGAAACGAATGGACCAAATACAGTCATTTCCATTCCTTTTAACTAACATATTAAAAAAACTGAAATTTTAAAAGTACGAAACTTAAATATCAATGCAAATACGAAAAGGAACAAATAGAATATGAGTTGTTTATTGAGTTTAGAAGATTAATTTACTTTTATACATGAGAGAAAACCAGAAGGGTTGTCATGGAGAAATCAATAACGTACCGTAGCGACATCTAGTTAAATTTCCGGAACTAATGTTTTTTTTTTTAAATACTTCCTCGTTTTAGCGTATATCCACTGTGAACCTTGTTTATTAAGAGCACTATAGAAGTATTGTTCTCTTTCTGTGGACCCCTCTGCATTCCTGTAATTAATATTTTGGTTGCCTCCATGTTGCTTCAAAAACTCTAAAGAAACAACGAACTAACGTCTAACACAGTGGCGGTCTAAGGAGGAGCGGAGAGGGTGATCTTAGGGAACCTCCAACCTCCTGCGGGGGGGGGGGGGAGTTAAAAACGTAATATCAAGTTTTTGCTTTGGTTTGCCGCTCCGGGCATCCGATGAGGTTAGTACCACTGATCATACACCAAAGTTTTAGAAGAACTAACGAACTTTTAACTTCAATTTCTCTTCTATAATACTATTTATAAGAACAGATTTCCGTGAAATATAAAGACAGCGTGTTTATAATTTTTAAACAACCATTTCAAATAGTGTTCATAAAAATGTCAAATACCATATTAGACTATGTACACGGACTAAGATTCCTTTGCCTTAAATAAAATAAAATATAAACGTAAATTTATTAATCTACGTTACGGATATGTTATTTTGGTTATGGATACGGATATTTGAGAATTGTTATATTGGTTTCGGTTACGGATATCACTTATTTCCGGATTATTCGGAAGTTTCGGTTACCGTTATAATATTATCATATTTATTCATATAAATCATATAAATAAGAAACATGTAAACGTATATCTTCGTGAAATATCTATTAAGTTCTACCCAAAGAGCAATATAATATGTTCTACCTATTACGGAAAACCCAAAAACGAGGTATGTAATTGTTCTTTTTAACTAATTTAATTATATTATTTTGGTTCACGGTGGGCAACTGCCGGCCAGCTGGCCGGAACCAGCCCGTGAGACATTTTTTAAAATCTAATTTAAAATAACATTGTCGTATTATTTCATGTCTGATATCTATTGCAAAAAATGATGAGCACTACAACACTACTTTTAAACGCAGCCCGCGAACGTATTTGCACATTAAAGTTTGGTCCACAACATGTCCAAGGTTGCCCATACCTGATTTAGGTAATCGATGATCAAACCAAAATACACGATCCGCGGGCAGTTGCATGGCGACAACTAAACCACTCGACCAACAGTGCAGTCAAAATATAACCTGTATAATGCAAAATATTGATGACAGTTCTTGACGAAAAATTTTTAAAAATTAATGTATAGTATAATTATATAAAATAACCTATGAAATACCTAATTAAGAGTGGCAGCAAAATTGCCTTCCGCCCCGGGTGGCAGACACCCATGCTACGCCACTACAGATAGTACTCTTCTGGTACAGGGTACTAGAATTATATTTAGATAATATTCACAGATATTTTACGCCTACTTTGAAAAATGAGAGAATCTAAAATAATGCGCGTCAAGTAAATGTCATATGTAATGTAGATTGGTCCAATATCCGTATTTGAAACTTTTATTTCGGTTACGGTAACGGATATTTTTTTATTTAGGATATCCGATAGTTTCGGTTATGGTTACGGAGCTCCCTGATAAATCTCAATATGTTCAATGAAAATTAAAAAAAGTCCTTAAGTTTATATACATTCCGTTTTATTCACCATATAATAAAAGTATCCAAATAAACGAGTCATCGTTTATTTTTAGAGTTTTGTACACATAGACCATAATACTATTACCCATATCTATAATCGAATAAAAATAATTACTTATGAAAATATTTTTAACCAATAGACGAGAATGAAATAACCGTTAATAGCTAATAATAATATTCTTACTATTAATAGTTCTTACTTTTATAAAATTCTTGTTTATTTCTTAAAAATAAACAAGAATAGAGACGAGTGCTCTATTCTTGTATATCCGTACACTAGCCTGTATCCAAGCTGTATCTCATGAACTGTGATTATGATTGAAAGACAGTTAACATTATTACAGATGATGTATTTCTGCTTCCACAAATGTACTCGTTGATTTCCGCTATAACAACAAATACTTAGAATAAAGTAAGTATTCCGGGGGGGCACGCAAAGTGATTATTTGTGCGTTCTTCAAAAAAAAAAAATCGTGCACGAATTAGTCTCGCACTCAGTTGGTTTTTAGATTTTCAGTAACTAAATTAAAAAAAAATTATAATTTGTTTAAACTTCTTCAGTTATTTAATATGGTACTCAAGAAGCTATGTAGCTCGGTGGCGTAGTGGATAAGCGCCGCGGCCCGCGATAGTTGTCGTTAAGCAACTTTCGCAAGGGTCGGTCACGGGATGGGTGACCAAAAATTTATAATGCGAGCTTCTTCGTGCTTCGGAAGGCACGTTAAGCCTTTGGTCCCGGCTGCATTTGCAGTCGTCAATACCCTCCAATCCGCATTGGGCCAGCGTGGAGGGTCATGGCCCATCCTCCTTAACCATCCATAAGGAAGGCCTGAGCCCCTGCAGTGAGGACGTAAAAGGGCTGACGATGAAAAGAAGCCATAGTTTAATAGTTACACGTAAATGATCGAAAATAACTATCTTTTATTCATCTGTCACCTGTCATTGGATCACAGATGAGGTCACAATGAGTCTTCTTCAGGTCAATGGGATGAGGTCTTAGGTCATATAGAATAAGGTATAAATTTTTTGGATAACCTAAATGATACCGACACGTCAGATTAATCCAAAATTTCGTTTTTACAATCCATTCTGAACGTAATTGACATCTCATGTCTTATTTAATATTTTTGATCAACCAAAGTACAGATTTGTAAGAAAAAAAAATCTTTGATGAAAAACATAAAAATTAAGAAAAAGAAAAAGAAGTGAATGAAAAACAAATAAAAATAAAAATTAAGCGAATTGCATGTTTATTTTAATATTTAAATAATGATATAAACATTGTAGCTTAATTTATAACATTATTATAATTTCCACATAATTTCAATAATTTTAAAATTTTGCACAATACTGTTAGTAAACTTAAAGAAGTAACAGTCCTTAGTCATTAAGACTATGCTTACCACAGTGAGGTCAAAAATAGTGGTTACAATGTATTAAAAATGTTCAGACATATTTTATAATGCATACATATAACACTCTTTGCTCATACTTAATAAAAACGTTTGCTCAAAAATAAATAAATAAATTGTCTAGAAATAACATACACAGTCATTACACAGCCTATTACTATCCTATTTCTTTCTCTTACTGTTATAAAAAAAATGATAAAAATATAATTATTGCTCTATACTGGCTTTTAAAATTAAAGTAAAGTAACTGGGACTGTGATTACTTGTATATAAATTAATCACAACAATCAGATTAAGAAAGTATTTTATAATAAAAGTTAAAATCTAAATACATTATTTTTATTAAACTACTTTTGTTGATGAACTATTGCTACTATAACAAACAGTAAATAAAATTGATAAATATATTTTCATATATCTATCTCTTATAACATTCCACCAACAACATCAAGTCAATTTAATACTACAATTGTCTACTACTAAAATGCAAAATATTCGTAACAATATATTGTTAGCTTTTTCTAATGAGACTACGTAAATCTACAAGATAAATGTCGTAGATTCTAACACATACGGTAATAGTAGATTTAAGTGCTTTAAGTGATTATCACTTCTCTACCTAGTACCTGATAAAGAGTACTCGATGCCCTAAGCAATCCAGCACTGCCTTTACTAAGGTAGATAAGATCAAACCAATTTAAGTATAACACAAAACAATACATATCTTTAGAAAAACGTTATTCAGATGGATCTTATATTTTGTTCGATATTGACACTACTAACCTAAACTTGAGAAACTCGGGAAACCTCCAACGATACCATTAAAAAGCACTCATCTTGTAGCTTTACAACGAAGTTTCGAAAATGTTGATAATCAAGCTAATGAGATGGAAATGTTTATATAACATTTTCGGAGTCGATCTCGCCTTGCTCAACGGTCATATACATGCCCTCTTCCTCGTAAGTGGAATCGTGTTTAGCGAGAATACGCAGTAGCGGGCGTAATTTCATCCACCATTGCTGTTTCGGTATTCTCTGACTGTAACAATAGGAGTATTATGAAACCTTAAAAACAAGCATTTGATGATGAGCTCCTCCGTGCTTGAGAAGACACGTTAAGCCGTTGGTTCCGATTGCATCTGCAGTCGTTAAACCGATCCGCACTGACCCCGTGATGGGCAATGGCCCATTCTCGCTTTTTGATTTGATTCGATTGCCGAGTCCCAGAAATGGAGGCATTAATAGGCTAGTAATGACAAATAATTAGCTTTCTTAAGCAAGCAGAAGATTTATTTACTACACGAATGTTCTTACTATTTTTACGGTTATTTAAGTCATGTGACTATATTTTTACGTCACTCACGTAAGGTACTTACGCGAAATTAGTTTGCGACTTGAGATCTTCGAGCGGAGTGAATTTATATTGGCGCTTCACGATGCCCAAAAGGCAAGCAGTGTCTGGTGTGTTTGCTGGACCCCTCTGTAATGCCTCAACCAGCCAGTGAAGACATTTAGCCGCCATTTTGGTTCCCATATTGCGATCGAATGGAGTTGGAGAACCACCTTGTTGCATATGCCCTGTAGAATGTATGTTTTTAAACCGACTGCCTATTGCGTCTGGGCTGCGATTGAGAAAGTCGAGCAAAGTTCGAAAAGGCTAGACGTTAGATGGGTGCCCAAAGATATTTTAACTCGAACTATGTGCTGCGGAAGACACGTTGAGACGTTTGTCCAGGCTGTACTACCCACTAAATCCGCATTAGCCCCGGTGGGTTTATGACCCATAGTTTTGTGGTTGTACCCAAAGTGAATGTCTATGGTTAAGCAGTGGAGATTTTAATAGGCCGATGAATGATTTAACGATTGGCTTATCGTTAATCTTAAATCAGTTTCTTCTGTCTGTCTGCTAGTAGATATTATGATAGTCTGATACAAACGGTTGCCATTTCATTTTCGATTTTACATCTAACAACATCATACTTCATATTCGAGTAGCTCGGTGGCGTGGTTATTGTTAAGCAACTTTCGCAAAGGTCGGTCACGGGATGGGTGACCAAAAAATTGCTTCTCCGTGCTTCGGAAGGCACGATAAGCCGTTGGTCCCGACTGCATTTGTAGTCGTCAATACCCTCCAATCCTTATTGGGCCAGCGTGGGAGGCACTACTTAACCATCTATAAGGTAACAGGGCTGATGATGAACATCATACTAACAATATTGGAATTCATTAGATTAATTACTCTGTTTTTTATGAATGATTGTTTCTTACCAAGCACATTCATCCTAGCCGTGAACAATCCTTTGCCTTCCTCGGAATAGAGACGGTAGATGAACTCCGTGTTGTAATTGTCATTGGCTTTCTCGTTACGCAATATGAGACCACGTTGAATACCACCAGTCATCTTGGACGCCATGTGGTACACGTCTTGTTGAAGATCTTTGATTGAGAATTTCTCCTCATATATGTACGCTGCGTCGGCACCGCCAGCCAAACCTTTTAGGAATGCAAAATCCCCACAATTAATTTTTATCTATTGATTATAAAATATTCAGTAATTATGAGTTGGACTTAATTTACCTGCGAGGGTAGCCAAATAACCGCTATAACCTCCCATAGTTTCGATCACAAACACTCGGCGTTTAGTGCCCTGAAAATATGATTTATTTTTTAAGTTTTCATAGTCATAGATATAGATGATAATAATAATAATTCTTTATTCGCTATAGCGTAGATTACAATGAAGTGGATAGTTGTCTTCAATAACGTACTTAGCATATTTAGCCATATTATATCATTAGCATGAAAATGTAGTTTGTTAACCTGCAGATAAACTATATTAGATCACTAGACCGAAAAATATATTGTCGAGATTCTTGAGTTATAAAAAAAATATAAAATATACAGGGTTTCTTCGTAAATATCAATAGCATCGCAAGATCAGCCCTGCGATTCTGTAAAATTCTAAACCCGAATTCGAATTTATTCAGGTGTCCGCAAAGACGCCATCTTGTCTTGGGGTCGCTATGACGTCACGCCCCTCTAAAACTAATATCGTTCTGTGAATGCATAAGGTTTTCTGATATGAGTAAAAGGGTGTGACGTCACGCGCTGTTCACGTGACAACGGGTATACAAAATTGATTTTTTTTCAAAATTAATTTAAGCTATATTATAATTATATAATAACCGTAAAGGTGTCATTCATTATCGGCAATATTATATTAAACACTTTCAGTAAAAATGAATTTATTTTCATTTACTATCTACACCCGCATTTAACAAGAAATGGTATAGATAATAGGTATTAAAGTTGAGGAGTGGGGGCTCGCTACGTTACAAATATACCTAAAATAATGTATGTACAAAGTTGTGACGTCATGCGACATATAAACTGTATGTGTTCGCTGTATCGCCGTAATTTATTGCATAAAAAGCATATTTTCAACCGAAATTTTTACAAATATTGAAACTTTTAATAAAGATGAAAATTTATTCTAATTATTATAAAATTAAATGTAAATTTTAATTTATTTTATTATTGTTTTTAATTAACCACGCTGTTTTCAATTTTTACTTCTAAGCAACTATCCACTGTAACTTATGTAGGGGGGCCTGTAAATACAATAGATAAATATCCAAAAGGCAAATTTACAAAAAAAATTGCTACTTGTGGTAATGCTGTCTTCTACACCGAGCTTTGCGTTCCCTATTATAGTTTATAGGCTTATTACCTGAGCAGATTGACGTATACGATCGCAAATCTCGGTGATTTCATTGAGAGCTGTATCAGCGCCGAGTGAGAAATCTGTGCCGGGCACGTTGTTACTGATAGTAGACGGGATCACCACCAGAGGCAGGCAGAATTCCGGGAATTGATCCCGGGACTCGTACATCTCTAAGCCAGCTTGATAAGCCTGTAAGAGTTATACCCAAATTAACACGCAACAAATTTTCTATAGCTCGAGCGTATCCAGAAAACGGTTTATACGACACTTCGATGTACTAACCGGGTACATCGACGACGATTGCGTGACATTTGCGCTCTTGCTTTATTATTAGCTCGATGAAATAGCTGCGTTCTAGTCAGTACGATTTCGCGTTCAACTACGAAAAAGGTTACACAGACGCACATGTGTAGCATTCAGGGTTGCCACCTATCCCGATTTCTGATGACTACCCGCATATTACGAATTTTGTTTCTCAAAAGATGACAACCCTGTTTGTATTTGCATAGTTCCGCAAATGTTAAGCATTCGCTATCTCGCTAAATAATATTTCTAAAAAGAAAATGGCATCCTAAAATACAATTAGGTACAGCATTTTGGATTAAGTTCGTTAGAAGAACACAGGGACTTTATAATTTGGCCTTCGTAACCAAAATTTTCATTCACAAATAGCTTAGTTATTGGATAGATACGTGTCCCTGCGATACCCGAGGTAAAAAGTGGCTCCCCTTGTACCAACAATTAGAAAAACAGTATTAGGATCACATTCTCCGATCGTTAAGACTGTGCAAACTGGTGAATGAATATAGTGACCAACCAGATATTCACGTAGAACCAACTGGTAAGATTCGTTTCATAACTCCCAACTAAATTACTTTAATATTTTGTTATTATTATAACCAAATTACTATTGTCCAATAAGTGTCCTTAATATTTCTGACATGTGGTATTCACCTATAAGTGATTATTAGATTTAAAAAAAACATAGATACATGTAAATATGTATTTGTGTAATAGTGTATACAAATGTTGGTAAATCAATAAATATATAGACACCTAATTATTTATATATTGGAATCTGCTTTTTTTAATATCATACAACATCAGTTGTGTAGGTAAAGGCCCCGTATAATGAAATGTCTGAGACAATTGAGGCACCACAACAATCAGCCGCGAATATAGAAAAGTCCATTTTCTACATTGACCCGCCCTGAAATAAAACCTCGGACCTCAGACATCAAGATGGAAAAGCAAGTTGAAGGTTATATTACCTCAAATCCACCAATAATAAGTAATCCGTTAATGTTAAACTGCTTGATGCGCGCCGCGATCTCTTTCTTCTTGTCACCGGGAAGCGTACGTTTTGTGCCTAGGAAAGCTCCTCCCTGAGCTACCCATCCAGTTACGTCTGACCTGATCACCGAGACGGATAACAGTTTTCTTTTTTGTTCTTTTTCTAGTCGGTCTAATTATCAGGTTTTGCACACTTAAATCTAAATTCGATATATACTTGGACTGTTTCAATACCTGTCACGCTAGTAGAATGAGTACTGCATGTAAATTAGAGCGGGACAGACGATGAAACAGCCCAAGTATATATCGAATATATGTTTTAAGTGTGCAAGCCCTGAAAATCAGACTTTATGAAAGTCGCGATATATCGAAAATTTGTTTTAAGAGTACGACCTCAGGATTCCATTTGGGTAATATCCACAAAAGCAAATAATTACAAAATCTCTTAGATCTTTAAAGGATTTATTGTAAGTTATAAATAATTAAAATATTCAGGCAACACGATTTTTCCTTCCTATAGATAATAATTACGAAATACTAGTTTAAGAAAATGTCTAATATATAATTTATTTGTGATCGGTGCATATATGAGCTATTAATTAAGATCAGTTAATTGATATGTCACTATTTTGAAAAAGAGAATTATAGCGGTCTCAATTAAAATAGCCGAATTATATGAGAATTGTAGCAGTCAAATATTCTGACAAGTTGAACTACATATTTTACAATGAAGGTCATAAAATATAACCGTAACAAGATCATATTATATATAATTTCTGAATAGTTTTTGCTCCATCCTATAAACAAAAACTAAAAGCAAATAAGGTAGGAATTAAATATTAAAAACAACAGAAGAAACGCGTAGTATTTTCTTCAAAACATGTGCAATAATTCTTATTGAAACGACCTTTGTGATAAAAAAAAATAACGATAATTATACGATATATTACGATTGTACAAAGATAATAAAATCCATGATCACTTACCAGTCCATCTTGACAATGTTTCCGCTGATAAGACCTTCGATGCCATCGTGAATACCGAGCACAGTGTCTCCACGGTATATGCAGTTACGTACAAATGAACGTACGGCCGCGTTCATACCGCATGCGGGCGCACCCACGTGCATAACCGCCAGTGTGTAACCTTCCTAACAACGATGCAAATATATATATAAGTATATTACACAGGGTCATTTGTAAAGACTTACTAGACTACGTAGTTTACATGAAAATCAACAAAATCTATTCGTTCATTTTTGTTAATCCTTAACATTTTCTCCAAAAATTTTTCATTCAAAAATAAATTTTAATTTATTGCCTGAATACACGAATTATGGGTAATGTCATAAAGCAGACCTATAAATGTCACGACAGTACAATAAATTACATTATATAAAAATAACACATTTAGAAGAGAAGGAGTAAGCAAAGATAGCCTTATTGTAACAATCTCTTCCAGGAAACCTATGGTGAAAGTAAATTTAATGATAGATACTGTGGGGGAGTGGGTACAATGTTTGTAAGGATAAATAGATAAATGGCGGATATATCTGAAGATAAATATATAGATATAGAAAATATTAAAGTATATAATATATGAAACAATTCTATAACAATAATAAATAAAGACGAGTGTTTCGAGATAAGGAGAGGAAATGACTTTTAACCTGATCGGTGAAGAAGTTGAGTGAACGAACTTTCCTGATACCCTCTGGAAGAGAATTCCAAAGTCTTACAGCATGCACAGAGAAGGAATAGGAAACGAAATCTGTTGCGTGACGAGGAATATCGAGAGTGAGATTGGAAGAGGATCGCAAAGAACAAAGAGTGGAAAAAGGGTGAAAAGGAAAACATTTCTAAAGATAAGGTGGAGAGGAGGGAAGGAAAAGGATCAAACCCGGTACCCAGAGATTGACACCTTGAAACCAACATGTGAGCTACTTGGCTGCAATGATTATATTAGTTTTATTATATTGAGACTATTGTTAATAGTTTCGGAAATCCCTCAGAGGCTGACAAAATATTGCTTGATTGATATCTACATTTTCTTTTAAGTCCAATGAAATGTATCTTACAATAGGTTTTCCAGATTCATCGAATGCTTCCTTGGGAGGTTTCAAACGGGTCAACATCTTGTATGTTTCCAAGTTGCGTGCGAAACTGCGCCCGCGCAGCTGGACAGCAAGATCCCAATTCTTATCAGCCATAGCCTAAAATAAAAGATTAAAACATAAAATTGTTACTCTTTTAAATATACAGGCTACGCTTAACATTCCAAATTTGAATCCGCTTATTTATCATCAATATAAGTCTTAATACCCTCAATGTACAGACACACGCCTTCACTATGGATGTAATCAAATAGACAGGATGGACCATCACCTACCATGGGGATCAGGTGCGGATTTGTGTCGTCTAAGGCACGAGGGAGCTCGAGATCATAAATTTTTGGTCACCTATCCTATGATAAGCGTTGGTAAAAATAATATTTAATTAACTTTAAAATATATAAGAATCTGATTAATACCTGAGCGACTGCCTTTGTGCGTCGTACGCACTCCATGAGCGGAAGCCTTACAGCCTGATTTCCGTCTAATGACACCACACACGGTTCCGTTTCAGGGGTGGCTTCCATCAAGGCCATCACGGCTTCAGCCCCCATGCGGCAACCCTGATAATAAAAAAAAAATTAATATAGGTCCTATAAATATTTTGCCTATTATACCTATTATAAAGAAATAATAGATATGTCGGTCCGATCTATACATTTTATTATAAAGAGGTAAAGTTTTTAACCTTTTTTTGTTTTTAGGGGGTGTCTTCGAAAATATTGATGCTATCATGAAAATTCTTTTACTTACGGGAGACGACATAATACGCGGGTGCTATAGACTATAATTTACGCGAGCGAAGTCGAAGGAAAACAACTAGTTAACAATTACAATTACTTCGAATTTATTATTCGTTAAGTATCATCATATCTCAATCCCAACTCTAAATTGCCTACACTTCATAAATTAACTCATTGACGCGAACAATTGTCCTGTTTCAAAATAAATTGGTCTGATGAGGGTATATTAATTGTATTGGTATTTCAATAGTCATATTTACTGTGAATGATCGGTTAAATTAGCTTCACCTTCAGAATATATTATTTTTTACATATTGTTATCATAAAACAGCTAGCAAACGCGTGTAAGTGATTGAAAGATCAAATACTGATCTTTTAAAACAGTCCAAAAATATTATTTTAATATTTCTACTAAATGTATAAAAGCACCCAATGTTGTCTGTATTTTAGACTTGAAATTAATCAAATAACCATTACTATCATTGTATTTGAAAAAAAAAAACCATGCACAATACTTTAATGACTTTGCCTTATAGAAAAATACTATGTATTTCTAGGTAGTTCAAAAAATCACGGTTGACCGATGATGATTTTTAAATAATTGTATATAAGATAAACCTTTAATTTTTTACATGTGAGTTAATATAATTAACACAACATTGTCACCTTATATAATACCTACTATTGTGCTAATATGGACTTCGCACACTTACATTTTTTTATCTCTAAATATATTTAAAGTTGTGACCTTTTATTGATTCATTAAACTCTCTTCATGTTTTATTTTGTAAATGCACGCGACGGTTCTTCAGTCCAAATATGGCGCGCATGATAATTCTGATTCGCAAACTTATATAAGTCATACTTAGGTTCACTTTTTCCTACCAACCCGTTCGATTCCACTACAGACTTGCTCGACACCTTTGTGACATTAATAACTATAGTAGCCTCACCAGGATCCTATCGAAAGCGGATGGTGATCCACCACGTTGCACGTGACCGAGCACCGTGATACGTGTATCTTGCTGGAGATTGTCGACCACCACCTTCTTCACCAGTTCAGCGGTGATCGGCTTACCTTCGCGATCTATCGCACCCTCCGCCACGATGATAATGTTCAGACGCTGCCCCGACTTCCTTTCCTAATGTGACACGAGAAGTTTTTTTTAATAATTATTAGCATTGGTTAAATAACTTCTAACAAAGAAGCAGGGTTTAATAAGCTTTTTACAATGTACACAAAAAGTAATAATACGAGTTTATACATTAATACATTTTTTTGCTATTTTTTAAATTTGCAAATATAAAAGTGTAAAAAGCATGGTTATTTATTCATCATTAATTAAACTCCATTTAAGAGTTAATATAAAAATACTACTTAACTAAATTGATCTTAATTTCATCGACTTTATAATTTTATATTAAATACATACATCTAATTTAAATTAAAAATTAAATAGTTGCGAGCATGTTTGCTCGGTAATAGATAAATAGCATAACTTATAATATCTAACTTAATAGAAGTTTGTTATGATTTTATATACAAAAGTTTAAAGAGTAACAATGAGTTGACACCACAAGACTTCCACTGAGAACACAAAGTGAAAGACAACATTTTATACCAATATTATAAGCAATATTGCATGCATTATAAATAATAAAGTATGCACAGAATTACAAGATAACATAGTAGGTAGGTACTATAATCAAAGGGTAAAAATACAGTAGAATTGAATTACAGTAGTAGTTTTGAAGTCAATTAATTTAACAAAAACTAATTAACTCTTCAAGGAACAACCTCACAAAAACATTAAACAAAATTTTAATCTCACTTAAAACAATTTAATTTGTTTAATACTGATATTACTATGTACTTCTTGCATCCAATATTAATGAACAAAAAATTATATTTTTAATAATTATACATAAAATTTTAAGCTGTAATATATTAATAAGTAAACAATGTATTAAATATAATATATTAAAAACTAAATGTAGTTGAGTCTAGAAGCACTAATTAGATATTATATTATGTGTTAATCATATATTTTCAGTGCCACTCAATTAAGCCTGCATACCTGTTGCAATCTTTTGCAAAGCTTTTCAACCCAATTATTGGGAACAGGATCCTCTGGAATGAAAACTTGGTCCGCCTCGCTCGCCAGAGCGGCTACTAATGCCAGATAACTGCAACAAGCAGTACCCGTGCATAATGGAACATGCATAAATGAGCCCCATCAATAACACCAGGTATGGAAAATTTGAGGTGTGTTGAAGGTAACCAGTAATAATTTTGTTATAGGATATAGTAATGGAAAATTCCAATCCAGTGAAATGACATTTAAAGTGAACCTGCTCCCATACAGATAAATGAGATCCTTGCCTCTTTTATTTTTGAACACAACTTTTGTTCCCAATTGGGTGGCGCTGGGTCTTCACAAATAAAACTATAAGTAGCATCCGTACATAGGGCTGTGTAAACTGCAAGAAAACTAAAAGGATATTCAGGTTAGGAATGAAATAAAGGGAAGAAAAATAAATACTATACAAATGTTTTTTTTAAACAGCAAAGGGCAAGGGGTGCAAATCTGGTTTTCTCTTGCCTGTTCTAGCTTATCACATAGTTTCTCTTTCCAGTCAAGAGATGGCGGTGCTTCTGGTATAAACACATAATCCGCTTCAGATGCCAAGGCAGTGACCAGAGCAAGATATCTAAACCAACAAACTTTAATTAATTCATTGTTTTAGTTGGTGCTTATTTACTATCAAAGACATTTGAGTAATATGATCTATTGTTGATTTATATCAAAAAAGTATTTTTTCTTCTGTAGTTTTAAGCACATAATTTATGAATAGCTGAAAGTATTAATATTTTTTATGTTTAAAATAGCCGAACAAGGAATATGTAAGTCTGATTAATTATTAGAAGAAAAAAAAAAACAAAATTAAAATTCAATAAAAACTGAAAATGTTTTTCTGTAGCTTTTATTATGTGAATTTATGATGTGGAAAGGAAAATACCTGTTTGGTCAGCTAATTAATAATGTCAATTTTCATATGACACACCTTCAATTGTGATACTACAAGAAAAAATTTAAACTTTTAACAATATGGTCACTTCTTACCCACAATGCCTTCCCATGACCTCCATAATGAATGTTCGTTGGTGAGAGTAGGCAGTGCTTACAATAGCATCTATAGCTTCTATGATCCTATGCAAGGCAGAATCAGTACCTATTGTCATGTCTGTACCACAGAAGTCATTATCAATCGAACCAACCTAAAACCAGAGATCATTTACTCTTACAAGACTTCTGACTATGTTTATTATAAAACAGTTTGCAAATGTCTTAAAAAAGTATCTGATTTACACTTTCACACTTAAAATTTAAAAGAAAACTATGATAAAGGTTAAAACAATTAAGCATTAAAAAAGCATAATAAGTAAAAGCCTTTATCTTATGAAAAAATGACACCACCACACACACCCAGACTCAACATAATGTAGACCATTGTCAATGGGAATATAACTTGAGATAGATTCAAGAAGAACCACTCAGCCAGTGAGAACATCAAGTAATTATTTTAAGTTTCATTCAAACAAATATTATTTATTCATATTTGATTTATACAATGTATGATGAAACATGATGATATTAACATCAATTTTCAAAAATTATTACTTAATTACCCATCTACAAAATTAATATATTGATTTCATAATAATTACCATTCCTGCAATATGCAAATGTTTATATTTTTCTCGTTGATCTTTAGTGATTTTATTGTTTTCTAGAAGATCATCAAGCAAAATTGACCATTCTTGACGAAATAGATTTGCACCAGTGAGTGAACCGTCACCACCAATTACCACTAAATTAGTGATACCACGAGTTACCAAGTTGTAAGCAGCTTTTAAACGGCCTTCCTTATTCCTGATTGACAAAATTACATGATTTATAAGGAATACACTGTTTATAATATTATTATGTATTAAGTACATGATTGAAACATAAATTGTAAAGTAGGTAAACATAACTTACAAGAAATCCATACAGCGTGCAGATCCAATAATAGTACCACCTTTGTGGATAATGGAGCTTACGGATGACCAGTTAGCCTCTTCAATATTATCACCTCCATCTACCATACCCTGGTAGCCTTCACGTATAAAATAAACTTTACATCCCAAATAGATGCCCATACGCACAACAGATCGCACAGCGGCATTCATTCCCTGAGAGTCGCCACCACTGGTAAATACCGCCAAACCTTTGCCTTTATGTGAGCCACGCTCTATGAATCTTTGTGTAGTATTCACATCCATGGTTAGGGCTTCTAATTACCCCGGTATCTAAAATATACTTTTTAAATTATCAACAATATTATAAATGGAAAATACTTTTTACAATCACGTCTAAAAAGTTAACAGTTTTATGAAACTCAATATACATATATATTTCGATGAAACAATTAAACACACCAAAAAATATTTTAGTGACTCCCAAATTTGAATCCTGTGAACTTCACCAAGGCTTATCAAGGTGACCTTTCAATGACAGTTTATTTATTGACATATCCACAGACCAGAAAATGAGGAACAAGTTATTCCGTAATATCCCAGTCCCAGCATGTCTTAATCGATTTACCAACGATTAACGATTGAATGTCGATATTTAATATGGTCTTATTATTTTTTATGTTTCAACCCTAAAGTGAAGTAAGAACATGATTACTATAAAACTAAAAAAGCCTAACATCGCTAGGGTCGCCGTACCAAAATGAGTCGAATTGCCATAACTTACCTTCAATTTATAGCTCCTCAGAAGCAAACTTTCCATGATGGTGAAATGATTTGTATTAATAGGCTGTACAGACTCATGCTGAGAAGTCTCACCGACAAGGCTGAGCGAGGCTCGAAAAGAAATAGGTGAAATGTATTTAAAAAATACCTAATGCTTTTATTTACCTTTGACATGGAATGTTTGTTTTAAAAATATGATAAAATGTTTCTTGTGCCAAGATAAACAAAATAACACTTTAATATTAATAACTTTCAAGATACACTTAAAATCGAATCGATTCTCCTTCAATCGAACCCACGACCTTTCGCATTCCGCAGACCGCTGAGCTACCCAGGAAAAAACTTACTGTGGGGTAATTTATGAAATTATTATTTTTTTGAAACTATGATGAATTTTGACTTGGTAGAAGCATTATAATAACTGTGTATTAATGTATGTATTTTAAATACATTTCTGTTGATGACAATTATTATTACTGATAATGCGTATGTATAGCGCTTTGTTTTTTTTTATTTAGCGCTTTGATTACATTTAGAAAATATTAAAGTTTAGTTCAGTAGCTAAAATAGGTATATTGAATGAGGAAGTATTTAAAAAAAACATTAGTTCTCTAAATCAAACAAGATGTCGCTACGCTACGTTCTTGATTTCTCCATGACAACCCTTCGGGTTTTCTTTTATGTTTAAAAGTAAATTAGTTTTCAAAACTCAATAAACAACTCATATTCTATTTGTACTTTTACGTATTTGTATTGATATCTAAGTTTTCAAACTTTTCAAATTTCAGTTTTTTAATGTGTTATTTAAAAGGAACGGAAATAACTGTCTTTGGTCCATTCGTTTCCAGCAAAAAAATCAACTTTTGCTATAGTCGCCATCTAATGGAGGTGCTCTTTAGTGCTTTCGTTTTTTTTAAATACTTCCTTATTCCAAAGTTGGCCACACCGTTAAAAAGCCAGCGTTGGACATCATCATATCGATATCGAATTTATTTTGTTGATAATCTATAAAAATAACTATCACTTACACTTTTAGGCTTTATCACGGACAACTTGGTTTGGAATTTTTGGTAGCTCTAATATTTACCAATCAGTCATCGTCTAACAATATCAAATCATAATATTTACAATAATATTTAATTCAGAAATATTTTATTTAAAAACAAGATGACCGGGCGTGTACTCCTTTATAACCTCACACGTTTTAATTTAAACCACTTTAAACCTTTCTTGCACTACAACAACAAGTTTACAGCCAGTTGCACATACGTCCATTAAAATTAACATTACCCATACAAATTTTCAAATTTAAAACGTTTATTACAGCTTAAAGTTTAATGAACGTTTGTGCAACTGACCGTTACAGTCTTATAGCATTTGTAGTTTGTTGAATTTACAACATTGAATATTATAATAATACTTATTTAATAAAAAGAAAAGATTTGATTATCTATTTGCATCCAATAAACTATAAAACTACAGAACATTCACTCGTTATTTCTTAAAAATTATAAATTATAATCCTTGGGATGCTTTATCATACGCGGATGACATCGGCTATAATTTACACGGGCGAAGTCCTAGGAAACAGTTCATTTATAATAAGATTACTAATAACATAATTAATATATTTTTTTATCTTTATTTAAAAAATAATAAATTACTGATTTTACTGATGTTTTATTATTTATTGGTTATAGGTAGGGTACGTTACATAGGAAGATTTTGAAGTATAAACTGATTTTTGATATTGAGTATCATTATCCGAATTCCGTTATTAATCATAACGAAATAGACAAATAGGACGCTTTGTTTCTTTGTACGAGCAAATAGTGAGATGGTCTGTAAGAAGTTTGTACAGAAAACGCATTAAAAATATATTAAAAATTGTGGTCATCCTATAAGCTAATAGCGTATAATAACAAATATTTTACTTTGGTTTAAACGAATACTTTTATTGCCCTTTGCGTCACCACAATACTGCCAACTTCACGTTGGAGAGCATTACACGATTTAAATACATTCATTGAACCAAACAATTTTTAATTACCAAGTTACAATCACGTCTCAACGCACTGAATTCAAACGCCAATGTGACGGTGTTCTCTATCTCGCCCGTAAAGTCCCTTTGAAGGATCATCAAAATTTGGAAGGATCAAAAAAATGTCAACCTTATTCAGAATCTTATAGTATAAGAATACCCCTATAAAACTAAAAAACGGGTTTATTTAATGAATCAATTTTGTTATTAATTAAATAATTAATGATAGTGTGCGTTGTGTAACTCAAAATATTATCATTCTAATGGTATAATAGAGGGAGTTTCTTATAATAAAATTAAAAACGACTTTTAATTACTCTATTTTATTGCAAATTCGTGTTAATAAATATACTTTGGCAGAAAGAAAAATCTAGCTTTTACAAGTACATAATCATACACACATACTGATTGATGACATTTTGAAGGATATAAATGCGTTTTGCGAGGTCAACATTTAAACTCTACTGCTACTAGAGGCAACATTAATATCTAGGAAATCTTTTAGTAGGGTAGTACGTCTCTTTTCAGCTATATCCATTTGATTTTCTAAATCTCCACGATCAGTAGTCTCTGCGCGTTCTACTTTCCAAGACAAGTTTTCTATTTCTGCTTCTAACTGGGCCTAAAACATCAAGTTTATAAAGGTGTACAGAGATCAAGTAATGCCGCATAACCAACTTATAGCTCGTATAATATAGTTGCATATGGCATTCTAAAGGTTCGATTTCTGCTCAGGTCAATGTAGAAAATTGATTTGTCTAGAAAAGTCTATTTAGATGTTGTAGTATCTTCGTTGTCTCAATACAGAGGGTTTACCCACTCATTATGGAATCTGATGTCTAATATTTATTTTATTTATTATAATTTAGGGATTGGCGTTTTTGCTTATTTGCCACCTTGAAAGGATAAGAAATGAATCATAAAACACAATAAAAATAATCATGTGAATGAATATTCCGATTTGTTTTAGGTATCACGGACAAAAGCAAACCTCTAGTTGAATAATTATTTATTGCGAAAATGTCAACCCTATTCAGAAACTTATAGTATAAAAATATCCCTTTAAAACTAAAAAATAGGATTGTATTTTTGACCTTATAGTTACTTAGACCTTATAGTAACAGTTACTGTATTGAAGTAGTTATTTTGAAATATTGGTCTTTTACTGAATTTTAAATAATACAAACAACTTACAAAAAGATTAACAGAGATGTTTAAAAAAATGTATGGAATTACCTGTTGGTATTCAAATAGTTCCTTTCGAGGTCCAACTTCCATATAATAAGCAAATGGATAAGTGTACTGAAGAGTATATCGACAACGTTTTAAAAGCTTAGCCGAGTCCCATAGATACTGCCAATCAATCCATGTTCCTTCACCAGCCATCACCTAAAATGTCCACGAATTTGATTATAGCAAGATTTAAGAAGGATATAAGAAAGTTATTTCATTATAGACAATATCAAATCTAACCTTCTGGTTGATACGACTTTTGAGATTAGCTAAGGTTTGTTCCTCCAACTTTAAAGATCGGGCGTGGTTCTCCCATCTCTCATAATAATGTAAGTATTTTTTAAGTGCCTCCCGTGCCTGAAAATCATTTAATTATAATCATATCATCATCATCTCTTCAAAAAAAAGAACAGCAGTAAATTCTTTATTGTATAAATTTCTCACTTTTCTTTTACAACTTATTCTTAATCACAAAATTATTGATTTTTATATATCGATGCTGGAAAGCAAACACATAGTTACCTACAAAACCAAAATGGATATTTAGAGTGGAAAATCTTTATATTTTTCCAAAAAAATATATCTTTCCATATAAATTGACTAAGGAACACCTTATTTGTTACCATGGACATTTATAGGAATTATTAATCGAAAAAATAAAAGGTTTTCTGATTTTGTTTTGAAATTGTTCTTTAGAACAATTTTGGTTTTGCGGGTTACTACTCCAGCGTTGATATGTATAAGAAAAAGGTGTTATATACCTGAGCATGTTGACTATCATTAGCCAAATTAGGATCTTCTTTATAACGGCTGCATTCATAATATTCAGAACCATGAGCTTTCCAATCTCCCAAACAAACCCAACAAAAATCATGTCTGCATGCACCACATTGCATATGATTGCAACCACCATTTTTCTCTATACAAATTTGACATTTTGGGCAATCCTAAAAATTATTTCATAACTGTTATTACTGTAATTTTATATTTTACAGCAACACTACAATAATATATATAAAAAGCTATTTTCTACTGACCTTGGTATGTGCACTGATATAGTTAGCAGTCTCAGTATCATCTGCACACTTGGTTAACCAACGGCGTATTGTAATACAGTCGGTTGGAGCGTGATGAGGGGCGCCACACGAAAAACAAGTGAGCAACTCACATCCACGGCATTCAACTCTACGAGCACCTTCTCGAATCCATGCTTTGAATATCCACTAAAAATGAAAAAAAAAATCCTTTTATTACAAATTCAAGTTCCAAAAATTAATAATACACTGTGTTAGACATGTATGCATAAATATTGTGTTTTCTTACTAACCTGACAGTTGGGACCAGGGCAAAATCTTAGTTGTGGATGTGACTTAACATGATCTTTAAACATGAACTGCTGATATCGCTCTCTTAGTGAGGGTTTAGGAACATGTGATAATACAAAATCTTCTGGAGCTCTTACTTCACAGTCTTGAGCCATACATTGTATGGTATTAGATACACCTACAAAATAACAGTAGTTAATACAATTAGACTATTAGATTTCTTAACTGAAAAGATTGCAGTTTTTCAAATTTAATAATTAATAAAAGAACATACATTTCTGTCATAGGCAAAATATCATTATAGATCTATATTTTCTATTTAGTCCAACATTATGTTTAAAACAAAAAGTAATATCAGGCCTATTTATAAATCTGATGGTTTTTAAAATTTCAATCCCTGGCAGTTAAAATAAAGATTGAAAATTTGTATAAAAGTCATAAGGATCTTGAAAATAAGTTTTTAAAATACAAACTAAATATGATCCTATTTCACAGTTCCAAAAAAAAAAACACTTCTATAAATTGATATTTTCTATGGATGTCTTTCTTTATGAAGTTAGAATCTCGGATTTGCTTGAATCTGAAGGTTTAAAGATTGAATACATATTGAAATAACTTAAATCATGATTTCCACAAAAATGTAAAGGAAACAAAGTTAGATATTTTTATTCTGTTAGAGGATAGTTGAAAGTCTCTACATAAACTTGAGAATCTAATACTCATTACTTACCTTCTTGTAGATCATAGTCACACATAAATATTAAATATTGGTTTAAAGTACATTACATAATTAGTATTTTAATATGCATATATGCAATACATTATATGAGTAGGTTGGAAATGAAAAGGGTTTAATTATAGAGTTATTTGTATTACCAAATATGGAGAAAACTTATTTTTAGCTTACCTTGCATAATTTGTACTTCAAAGTGCATAGCCCAACAATCATTGCAGAAATAATGTCCACAGGCCAAGGCACTATAATTGTGGATAGGAGGAGTGTTAGCACAAACAGCACAAGCTGTACGATTTGAGCTGCCCTGCAGTGTTGGTGTACGAGGCTTCACTCGGCTATATACCAAGACTTCAAATGCATTTTCCTTATATTTACTTATTATCTCTTGAGCATTCCATTCATATGCATGTAACATGACCTAAATTAGAAATCTCTATAAATAATTGTGCAAAAAGTATTTTTACCAAAGCAACAGTAGGTATAATATAATAAATTACAACAAACCTTGGCTAGTGAAGGCGTAACTTGAAGGCTGTTGCTAAGCAGTTCAATCGATTCATTTAACAATTTCTCAACCTCTTCGACTTTGAGGCAAGAATACAAGAAATATTCAGGGTCAGACTTGCTTCGGTCTACAGTTTCCATGTCACAGTCATCTTGGCCACCGTAATAATCATAATCATCGCCATCATTGTCAGAATATTCCATATCAGATTCAGCAGACATTTTGAGCCTTGGTTCATCGACTTGCGGACCAAAATACAATTCTGATTAACACTAAAATATTAACTTTTTGAAATTAAAATTATTCTATTTTAATACCTATTTTGTTAGAAATATTTCATCTTGTTTCTAAATATCATCATACTTCTTGTTTTGTAAATAAAATACTTTGTAAAAATAGCTTGTAGTAGTTTAATTCGTCCATTGGAACTGGCGAAGGTACTTAGCCATACTGCCAAATCTTGAGTAAGTTATTTCTTCTTTTTACCGCTAACTTCACGTAGGAGACCATTAGACGAATTATATACATTACTTCAACCAAAGAATTTTGAATACACAACACGTTAAAATGTTTTATATATGATATTACTTAATGAAGCCTAAAAATAGCTTGACTTTCTTCTTTACTCTCTTTTCTTTAAAGAGTAAAATCTCAAATACTCATGTCATGAACACAATCCTTAGACCAGGAGGAGGACATAAGATAAGTATCAAAATTCCTTCTCTCTCTCTTCTGTATTTACAGGAGAAGCTTTACCTCTCCTTGAGGCCATCCTATTTGCCGAATCTCATAACTTTAACAAAACCATTATTTTCACAGATTCACAGAGTTGCTTACAGTCTATAATATCAAATCCGTTTCGTTCTAAAAATATATCTCCCGTTATATTTAACATAAGACAAGCATTGTACAGTTGCTATCTTAAGAAGCTAATCATTACCCTGGCATGGATACCGGGACACTGTGGTATTCCTGGGAACGAGACACCCGATGCATCTGCTAAACAAGCTGTTATAACTGGTTCTTTAAAATATTAAAAACTCCGTGATGAAAACTCTTTGTGCTAGCACATGAATATTTAAAGAGGTCATGAAATGTTTATTAAAAATACTATACACACAATAATCTTGTGAAACGTTGGATGCACCAAATAGTGGTTTCAATGAATAACAGAATACCGAATACTATTTTGTTTAACATTTACCGAACCGAATATTCGGCCAAATTATTCGATTTACAATTTCATTGATTTGCAACAGGCATAAAACAAATAATGAAATGATTTTTTTTTTATTTTATTAAGTGTATTGAACACATTCTTCGATATCTTTGGCATATTATATAACAAATATCTTAATGAGAAAGTATTTTAAAAAAAAACGAAAGCACTAAAAAGCACCTCCACTAGATGGCGACTCTAGCAAAAGTTGTTTTTTGCAGGAAACGAATAGACCAAAGACAGTCATTTCCAATCCTTTTAACCAACATATTAAAAACTGAAATTCGAAAAGTTCGAAACTTAGATATCAATACAAATAGAATATGAGTTGTTTACTGAGTTTCGAAAACTAATTTACTTTTAAACATGAAATAAAACCGGAAGGGTTGTCATGGAGAAATCAAGAACGTACGTACAAGAACGAACGTAGTAAATGCGATAGAAGATGCTCAGTGAAGCAACATCTCTACGCAGGGCCAATGGATCAAGCCGACTTGAAGTCTCCCGGCAATCGACGATTTGAGTTGCTCTGTCTCTGTTGAATGCGGTCTAGAGGGAGAAGCTGGTATTGGGGTGCTCCTGCCCAAAGATGAGAACAGTATTCCATATGGGGCCGAACTTGCGCCTTGTAAAGCTGCAGGCGATGTGCTGGAGTGAAATATTGCCTCGATCTATTAAGCACACCAAGCTTCCTGGATGCTAATTTAGCCTTATCCTCTAAGTGACCACGGAACTGGACTGGACTGGAAGTGATACGACAAATGGGGCTTTTTTGGCGGTGAACGAGCAAACCTGTGTCTTAGTAGGGTTGAAGTGGACCAAATTAAATCGACCCCAGTTAGAGACTTCCTCTAACGAAGATTCAATGTCAGACACAAGTTGATTCCGGCTCTCAATGACGCTTTCCCGAGAAATATTTGCACGACCGTTATAGGTGGAGTCCTTCGTGCTGTCATCTGCATAACAATGAATACCGCTAATTTGCAGCATGTCATTAATATGCAGAAGAAAAAGTGTAGGTGATAGCACACTTCCTTGGGGAACACTAGCATTTATAGACAGTAGGTCCGAGCATTCACCTTCTGGTTTTATTTCAAGGTTGTAATTACCTTAATGCTTCTGTTTGCCAAAAAACTAGTGACCCATGCACATAACTTCTCGGGAAGCCCATACGATGGAAGTTTTGATAGAAGAGCTTTGTGCCACACCCGATCGAAGGCTTTGCTACGTCCAAACTTACTGCCAGGCCCTTTGTTTCAATTGCCTTAACCCAGTTATATGTCAAGTAAACTAGAAGATCGCCAGCCGAGCGACCACTACGAAATCCGTATTGTTGGTTACTAAGCAACTGGTGATCCTCTAGGTACCGAAGGAGCTGTCGGTTGATAATGGACTCCATTATCTTTGAAAGCAAAGGGGTTATAGCGATCGGCCTGTAGTTGGACGGGTTCGAGCGGTCACCTTTTTTTGGAATCTGATGCACTAAAGCAGTCTTCCATGAGGTTGGGACTACGCCAGATGAGTAAGAGTGCTGGAATAGGCGCGTTAAGACCGGTGCCAACTCTGGAGCGCACGTCCTTAGCACACTAGGGGGAATACCATCGGGCCCACTCGACTTGTGGATATCCAGGGAGAGTAGTGCTAGACGCACTGAGCTTTGGTGAAACCAGATATCAGATATAGAGCTTTCGCACCGCGAAATGGTGGGCGGTTTTAGACCCAGTCATCCAAAATCGAGTTGGATGCAAAATAGTTACACAGGAGATTGGCTTTCTCTTTTGCATCCTGGGCTAATGAGGAGTTATCTTTGTGCAATGGTGGAAATGAAGGCATGCAGAAATTACCTTGAATAGATTTGGCAAGAGACCAGAAAGCACGCGTCCCCGAAGGAAGACGCTCAAGCTTCTCGCCAATTCTACTGATGTGCTTCGCTTTCGCTCTTGCCATGTCTCTTTTAAAATATCTGGAGGCAAAGTTGTATTGCTTTTTCAGAGCGCTGGTATTTACATGTCGCGACAAAACCACATTTGCCCAGGCTTGGTATGATTCCCGTTTTCAACGAGAAGCCTTTCTCGAGGACTGACCAAACCAAGGTTGGAATCTGCCACCAATAGGGACAATCGAGGATGGAATGAAAGTTTCCATACCCTGAAACACCACATCAGCAACAGACTCGGCGGAGTTGTTGGGATCATCCGGCGCAAAGCAGATACGTTTCCAGGGGTAGGATGCAAAAAAGGACCGCAACCCATCCCAGTCTGCCGACTTGTAATGCCACACACGGTGACTACGTGCAACACGTGGTCGTTACAAACACGTGAGAGGCACTGTACTCCTAATAAGGCAGTGGTCCGAGGAGCCAAGTGGAGCGTCAACAGATATGGAGTACCCGTCGGGATGGAAGGTTAACAAAAGATCCAACCGTGAAGGTTCATGACTCTCGACATCTGGGATTCGCGTAGGGGTAGTGACCAGTTGTGTCAAGTCTTGTGCAAGAGCGAAGCTCGGAAAGTGATCTCCCCGCATGATCGGTCTTGCTAGAACCAAGCCATTCGGTATGATGAGCGTTAAATTCGCCCAGTATCACGATTTCTGCGAGTGGGATCTGAGTCGGTCGGTTTCGGCATCGCCGTCATGGGACCTATAAAGGCACGAATAGACGCCGGGGTGGTGAACCCAGGTACAAGTATCTGATTTTTAACAAACTACATTCAGGATATGCGTTAATTATGTAACACATATAAATAATAATGAACTATAAAAATAAGTATGTTCGAAATAACCCCAGATACGAATTATGAAAATCAAGAAGTAAAAATAACAAAATAAATAAAGGTCACAAATCGCACTCTTGGTTTGCGGTCATGTGATAACGAGTATAAAATGTTTGATTTTACTTCATTAATTTTATAATAAGTATTAAATTATGATTATCAAAATTAAAACATCGATGATTTTTAGTTACCTAAATATCGATCTTTAGTAAATATTCCCTACTGCTGTTGAATGTTGGTGTGAACATTTTGTTTCAAATATTGTTTTTTTCTTTTTTTTTTTAATCTGATAATTTATTTTAAATGGGGAGAAAACAAAAAGTATCAATAGTTCATAATGATAACTCATAATTATCGAAATGAAAGTATTGATTTCCAAAGTGCTACGCACAAAAGATTTAATTTAGAAGAATCAATACTTTTTGCATTACCTTAATCATAAACTCTGTGGTTAGTCATACAGTACCTACTAAGTCTGTGGTCATACATAAAACATGGTGGTGATTATTGTCATCCCATAAATGCCAAAATGGCTACGACGAACGATTCGAAGGCGCCTTTGCGCCAGGTAAAAAGAGTGCAATTTGGTATATTATCACCAGATGAAATTGTAAGTAAGATATTTCGGTATTTACTATATCGAAAGTGTATTTTCATAACAATTTTTTGCTTACAGTATATCTACAGAGGAAACGCGTAGTTGTTTGTTTGAAATATTGCTTGCACAATGTTTAGTACCATATAAGATGTATCCTTTATTATTAAATTTGGTTTTAAAATCTTGCATCCTGCCAGAATTTAGTATGTGAGTTATTAAGGCTTTGAAATATTGATAAAATGGTTGAATTTTGTAGCGACGTATGTCAGTTACCGAGGGGGGCATTCGTTTCCCCGAAACCATGGAAGGAGGTAGGCCAAAATTGGGTGGCCTTATGGACCCTCGACAAGGGGTGATAGACAGAAGTTCTAGATGCCAGACTTGCGCTGGTAACATGACAGAGTGCCCAGGACACTTTGGACACATTGATTTGGCCAAACCAGTTTTCCACATTGGCTTTATTACCAAGACAATAAAAGTTTTAAGATGTGTTTGTTTTTATTGTTCAAAACTCCTTGTTAGCCCAGTAAGTATATTTAAATACAATTGGGATACATTTTAATAGAAGTCTTGGATATATCTAATAATATTATTTGTTTGTAGACTAATCCTAAGATTAAAGAAGTTGTAATGAAATCAAAAGGTCAACCGAGGAAGAGATTAACATATGTTTATGATTTATGTAAAGGCAAAAACATATGTGAAGGTGGTGAGGATATGGATATAGGAAAGGAAGGAGACGAAGGAAAGAGAGGCTCAGGGCATGGGGGCTGTGGTCACTATCAACCGTCTATACGGCGGCAAGGATTAGATCTCACTGCAGAATGGAAACATCCTAATGAAGATACACAAGAGAAGAAAATTACAATTACTGCAGAGAGAGTTTGGGAAATTCTTAAACACATTACCGGTGAGTATATTATATTTTACTTTCTTAGTGTCTACATTTGTATCGCAGGTATATTAAGTATTGTTTGCACTGTTCATTGTTTTCAAATGTTTAAATCAATATTCAAAAATATTTAAGTTCCCATGTTTCAGATCTACCTCTTTTTAGCTTATTTTGAGTGTTTTTTTTTTTACTTGTAGAAAACAGCTATAAAAATGTATTTTTAAATAACTAATCATTTGGTTTAAATGAAGAAATTTTAAGTTTTTTATGGCATAACTTGTAGGTTGTAGACTTTTAGAGGCCTATTACAAAAACACAAACTACATGGCCATTAAAACTGATCTTTGACAGTTGATGCATTGAATTTTGTAGTAATTTTGTAGTTATATTTATTGTTTTTATTTAAATAGGATAATAAATTTGGACATTATTAAATATATTTTTATAAGTATCATTTATTTGCAAGAATGTGGTATAAAAGTAGAATCTTAATTTTGTCACAAGCACAGAACATATTCAGGCTGTTGTAGTGTGAAAATATGTTATGTTATTGAAAAACCACAAAATTGAAAACAAATGGATTGTTTTTTAATAAATATCTGAAAAAATTCAGATTAACACATAACAAAAATCATAATTCCCTTTTAAAAGTACAGTAATGTCATCTAGTGATCAGTAGCGTCAGCTAAATGTAACATTTTCATGCATTTAATTAATATAACATATGCATTTAATGTTAATAATAACAATTGTACTGATTCAAATTATTCAAAACATTATTTAATTCTGCGTAAATAGCTTAAATATTTAATAATGGATTTGAAAAAGGATGCCTTGGAATATAATTACAATAGGGATGATGACTGGGTAAACGAAATCCAATTCTATTTAGTCTGTCAGTCAGATAATAGAAAAATATTAGATACGTATTTTTTTTACTTCAATTAACAAGAAATTGCTTAGATAACAGGCATTAAAGTTGAGGAGTGGGGGCTCGCTACGTCACAGTTGGGTAGAAAACGTACTCTAACGTGACGTCATGCTAAATTTCAAGTCAATGTAATGCTGTAATTTTATGATTACGAAAAAAATAAAAAAATATGTGTTTAATATTTTTTAAAACTCTACCTGATGGACAAACAAACAAATATTTGTCATCATCCCTATTGAATTGTAAACAATGGTTGCTATGGTCACGATTTAATGCCCTATACGAACTTAGTACTCCCATTCTCATAATTAATGTAAGATATAAGATAGTCATATGCTGCCATAGACTTTCTTTTTAGAACTTTTAAAGGGGATCAATTCCGTAATACGTGATTATTGCGTATTTTTAACCAACTTTAAAATCCAAAAGGAGGATTTATGTTTGAGGGTGATGTATTTTTTATGTATGTTCACGAATCATTCTTGAAAAAAACTTGATGGACCAAGGCCCTATTTAAATTTTATTGAAATTGAATTGGTGGTTTTCCTTTTATGAAGGCCTGAGTCTGAGATAATACTGATATTGATATATAGTAGCTATTATTTATAAAATGACCTAGACTTAGACACTTATATTATATTATTGTTTTATTTGTTAACTAGCTTTTTTTGGTACTATCCAGGAATAAAATTATGAAAAAGAGAAAATTTGTTTTTGTACTCCATATAGTTTTTATACAAACTTGTCCTGGCAAAAATAAACACAACAAAAAAAGAATGATCTAATTTGGTGCAGTCATTTTGAAGTTGTTTGTGCTTACATTTTGGCAGCTCATTTTTATGTTTTGTTCTTGAGTATTAAAAGCATATTTTTTATTACAGATGAAGAATCATTTATCTTAGGAATGGATCCAAAATTCGCGAGACCCGATTGGATGATTGTTACAGTTCTTCCTGTTCCGCCATTATCTGTGAGGCCAGCTGTAGTTATGTTTGGAGCTGCAAAAAATCAAGATGATTTAACTCATAAACTTGCTGACATAATAAAAGCTAATAATGAGTTGACACGGAATGAACAGTCAGGAGCAGCAGCTCATGTACTAGGAGAAAATATCAGAATGTTGCAGTTTCATGTGGCCACATTTGTAGACAATGATATGCCGGGCATGCCAAGGTAAGTAAGACAGTGTTGAATACCACATATGTATGCTTTGACAAGATGGTTTTCTTTACAATGAACATTGAAAACGTTAGCAGATGGGTGATTAAACAGTAACTAAAGTCTTCAATACTGTTGTTGGGTACAAACAATACTGTTGGGAAACATTATGTGTTATTTGTTTCGAGCTTAACCTAATGATTGTAATTATTTCCATATTAGAATACAAAATTGTAGCATATTTATTTTAATATAATTGAGTTAAAGGAGGAACTGTTACAGTTAAATTATCTTTATATTTATCTGTTGGTATAGTACAAAAAAGACTAAAGTTGATATTTAAATAGTTTTTTATTCGATGACAAAAACATTAATTTAAACATTTATTTCAATTTAAATATTAATAAAACAATGTTGTTAACATTTTTTATTAATATTTTAATAAATGTTTTTGTTGTGTATGCTAAATAACTTAAAACAAACAGGTAAAATAGTACCTAATTTTGATACACAAAACATATTCTTCTGTTTTTGAACTGAAAACGAATAATATATATGAGAAAATACACCATTAACTTGGCAATGACACTGTATTTTAGAAAAAAAAAATTGTTTTGTAACATTACATAGTAAATAATAAGTTTATATTTTCTATAATTTGCATAATGACAATGCAGAAAGACTGTTTTCTGCCTATAAGCAATGCTTTTATTATAAAAATATGTTATCTTTTTAATCAAATCACTTCATAATAATTTATTTCCATTACATCAATTACGTACAACATTTCTATCTTCTTTTTGAAGTGTCAAAAGGGAACTCTTTATTTTGTGAATACCATTTCTATTAAATACCATATTGTTTTTTCTTAATCTTATCTACATTTTAATTTTTATTTGCAGAGCAATGCAAAAGTCTGGTAAGCCCCTCAAAGCTATTAAGGCAAGATTAAAAGGGAAGGAAGGAAGAATTCGAGGTAATCTTATGGGAAAACGAGTGGACTTCTCTGCTCGTACAGTAATTACACCAGACCCGAATTTACGTATTGATCAAGTGGGTGTACCGAGATCTATTGCTCAGAACTTAACGTTTCCGGAATTAGTTACGCCATTTAATATAGACAGAATGCAGGAACTGGTACGCCGTGGCAATGCTCAGTATCCAGGTGCTAAATACATTGTACGCGATAACGGCGAGAGAATTGATTTGAGGTTCCATCCCAAACCATCGGACTTGCACTTGCAATATGGTTACAAAGTTGAACGCCACTTGCGTGATGATGACCTTGTTATTTTCAATCGTCAACCTACTCTACATAAAATGAGTATGATGGGTCACAGAGTTAAAGTATTGCCTTGGTCTACATTCCGAATGAATTTAAGTTGTACATCACCATACAATGCTGATTTTGACGGCGATGAAATGAACTTACATGTTCCACAGTCTATGGAAACTCGTGCTGAAGTAGAAAACATTCATATAACTCCTCGTCAGATTATTACACCACAGGCTAACAAACCCGTAATGGGAATTGTACAAGATACATTGACAGCAGTTAGAAAGATGACTAAACGTGATGTATTTCTTACTAAGGAACAAGTTATGAATCTTCTCATGTTCTTGCCAACATGGGATGGCAAAATTCCTCAACCATGTATTTTAAAACCACAGCCTCTCTGGACAGGCAAACAAATATTTACTTTGATCATTCCTGGAAATGTAAATATGATTCGTACTCATTCCACTCATCCTGATGAAGAAGATGATGGGCCATACAAATGGATATCACCAGGGGACACAAAAGTAGTGGTAGAGCATGGGGAACTACTTATGGGTATTCTGTGTAAAAAGTCTCTTGGTGCTTCTGCTGGCTCTTTGCTACATATTTGTATGTTGGAATTAGGTCATGAAACTGCGGGTCGCTTTTATGGTAATATTCAAACAGTCATAAACAATTGGTTGCTGTTGGAAGGCCATTCCATTGGTATTGGTGATACAATTGCTGATCCTCAAACATATCAAGAAATTCAGCGCGCTATAGTCAAAGCCAAAGATGATGTAATAGAGGTTATTCAAAAAGCTCACAACATGGAGTTGGAGCCAACACCTGGTAATACTTTGAGACAGACATTCGAGAATCAAGTGAATCGTATCCTAAACGATGCTCGTGATAAAACCGGTGGATCAGCTAAGAAATCTCTGACTGAATACAATAACCTCAAAGCTATGGTGGTGGCCGGATCCAAAGGGTCAAACATTAATATTTCTCAAGTTATTGCTTGTGTAGGACAACAAAACGTTGAAGGTAAACGAATTCCATTCGGCTTTCGTAAAAGAACTCTTCCACATTTCATCAAAGACGATTATGGTCCCGAATCTAGAGGTTTTGTTGAAAATTCATATTTAGCCGGTTTGACTCCTTCCGAATTTTATTTCCACGCTATGGGTGGTCGTGAAGGTTTGATTGATACTGCTGTAAAGACAGCCGAAACTGGATATATTCAACGTCGTTTGATAAAGGCTATGGAGTCTGTAATGGTACATTACGATGGCACTGTGCGTAACTCTGTTGGGCAACTTATTCAATTGAGATATGGTGAAGATGGTCTGGCTGGAGAGACTGTCGAATTCCAAAACTTACCAACCGTAAAACTTTCAAACAAAGCCTTTGAAAAGAAATTTAAATTTGATCCTTCCAATGAAAGATATCTGAAGAGAATCTTCAATGAGGACATTATTAAAGAACTAACTGAATCAGGCTATGTCATAGCCGATCTTGAGAGTGAATGGGAGCAATTATGTAAAGATCGTGAAATATTGCGTCAAATTTTCCCCAGTGGAGAATCAAAGGTAGTGTTGCCATGTAATTTCAAAAGAATGATTTGGAATGTTCAGAAAATATTCCATATTAATATGAGAATGCCCACTGATTTAAGTCCGATCAAAGTAATACAAGGAGTTAAAGATTTACTGAAAAAGTGTGTAATTGTAGCAGGTGAAGATCGCCTGTCAGTGCAAGCGAATGAAAATGCTACGTTACTTTTTCAATGTTTAGTACGGTCCACTTTATGTACCAAATTCGTTTCCGAGGAATACCGACTTTCAAGTGAAGCTTTCGAATGGTTGATCGGTGAAATTGAAACACGTTTCCAGCAAGCCCAAGTGAATCCTGGCGAGATGGTAGGCGCGTTGGCTGCCCAGTCTCTTGGAGAACCAGCTACTCAGATGACACTGAATACTTTCCACTTTGCTGGTGTGTCATCGAAAAACGTAACACTTGGTGTACCTCGTTTGAAAGAAATCATCAACATTTCGAAAAAACCAAAAGCTCCTTCCCTTACGGTTTTCCTTACAGGAGGTGCTGCTAGGGATGCTGAGAAAGCTAAAAACGTTCTTTGTCGATTGGAACACACAACTTTACGTAAAGTAACTGCAAACACTGCAATTTATTATGATCCAGACCCTCAAAATACAGTTATTGCTGAAGATCAAGAATTCGTAAATGTTTACTATGAAATGCCCGACTTTGATCCAACGAAGATTTCGCCTTGGCTTCTTCGTATTGAGTTGGATCGTAAAAGAATGACTGACAAAAAATTGACTATGGAGCAAATTGCCGAAAAGATAAATGCTGGTTTTGGAGATGATTTGAACTGTATTTTCAATGACGACAATGCTGAAAAGTTGGTATTACGTATTAGAATTATGAATAACGAAGAGAGTAAATTCCAGGACAATGATGAAGAGACTGTTGACAAAATGGAAGACGATATGTTCCTCAGGTGCATTGAAGCCAATATGTTGTCTGACATGACTTTACAGGGTATTGAAGCTATAGCAAAGGTGTATATGCATTTGCCTCAAACGGAAGCTAAAAAACGTATTATAATTACTGAACAGGGAGAATTTAAGGCTATAGCTGAATGGTTATTGGAAACCGATGGTACCTCCCTGATGAAAGTATTGTCTGAACGTGACGTTGACCCGATAAGAACGTTCAGTAACGACATTTGTGAAATATTCCAAGTACTCGGTATTGAAGCTGTACGTAAATCTGTAGAGAAGGAAATGAATGCTGTATTGCAGTTTTATGGTCTTTACGTGAATTATCGTCATCTTGCCTTGCTTTGTGACGTCATGACAGCGAAGGGTCACCTTATGGCCATCACACGTCACGGCATTAACAGGCAAGATACTGGTGCATTGATGAGATGTTCCTTCGAAGAAACAGTGGACGTATTATTGGATGCAGCTAGTCACGCCGAGGTGGATCCAATGAGAGGAGTGTCAGAAAATATAATCATGGGCCAGTTACCTAGAATGGGCACAGGTGAGCAGTTTTAACTGTTAAAACATTTGTTGAACAATAATATAATTTACTTTAAATATTGTAATAATATTTAAATTTAATTTGTAGGTTGTTTTGATTTGCTTTTGGATGCCGAAAAATGTAAGCACGGAATGGAGATGGGAGGTCTAGGTGTAGGTATGGGCGTCGGAGGCGGAATGTACTTTGGTGTAGGAACTCCGTCTATGACACCGCTTATGACTCCGTGGTCTACTCAGAATACACCAGGATATGGAAGCAGCGTATGGTCACCTGCTCAAGGTATATCTTTTAATTTGCATGAATATGATTATTTACTTGTGATAGTAAAATTAACACATTTCCTGTTTTTATTTCAGTCGGTAGCAGTATGACTCCCGGTGGGCCTTCGTTCTCACCGTCTGGAGCATCGGATGCATCTGGATTGTCGCCTGCATATAGTGCTTGGTCGCCACAGCCTGGTTCACCAGGATCTCCAGGTCCCCCGCTATCACCTTATGCGTCCCCCGCCGGTGCCTCACCGTCTTATTCACCTACTAGTCCAGTGTACGCACCTGCTTCACCAAGTCTCACACCGACTTCTTCACATTACTCTCCAACAAGTCCCTCGTATTCGCCGACGTCTCCTAACTATTCGCCCACGTTGTCTATATACTCTCCGACTTCACCAAGTTACTCCCCAACATCACCAGGGTATTCTCCTACGTCACCTTCTTATTCTCCTACGTCACCCGGTTATTCTCCAACTTCGCCGAGTTACTCACCCACGAGTCCAGCTTACTCGCCGACTTCGCCGAGCTATTCTCCTACTTCTCCCAGTTACTCGCCGACGAGTCCTTCTTATTCCCCGACGAGTCCGTCCTACTCACCGACGAGTCCGGCGTATTCACCAGCGTCGCCAGGGTATTCGCCGTCGTCACCGAGTTACTCGCCTACTAGTCCAGTGTACAGTCCGACGTCGCGTAGCTATTCGCCATCTTCACCGAATTATACGCCCACATCGCCCGGATATTCGCCGACGAGTCCTTCATATTCACCGACCTCCCCGGCGTATTCGCCAACATCGCACAGCTACTCGCCGTCATCACCGAAATATTCGCCGACTTCCCTCAATTATTCACCGACGTCGCCCTCTCTTTCCGGAGGCAGTCCAAACTATTCGCCTACAAGTCCGCAGTATTCGCCTATGGGATCTCAATACTCACCGACGAGTCCGGCGTACTCGGCGTCGTCACCGCAACATCCCGGCAGCACAAATTATTCGCCGTCGTCGCCGAATTATTCGCCGTCATCGCCCAACTATTCTCCTTCGTCACCTGGATATTCGCCTTCATCTACCAAATATTCACCGACATCACAAACGTATACTCCCGCGTCGCCAAACTACTCGCCCTCGTCCCCTGCTTATTCGCCGTCATCGGCAGGACCCACAAATTATTCCCCGAACTCTCCTAATTACTCTCCAACTTCACCCTCTTACGATGATGGAGATGATTAATTTGTTAATATATTATTCCATTAGTGAATTGAATTTTAAACATATCTACGTATAGGCTATCATACCTTTCGTATTGTTACTTTACTTTTAATCTTCTGTAAAATATTATCTGATTACTTTTCTATAGACTAAAATTAAAAATTATATATATATTTCAGTATAAATGTTGACACAGTTATGTTTGTAGAGCGTTCGGGAAATGTGTTCATTGGCAATTGTAATTGAAATCTTTCTCATTTACTTGTAGTAAATGAGTCTAGTAAAATTTAGAGTTAAAATTTTCAAAGAGGCATAAACTTCAAACTCGGTCGTGATAATTTGGCGTTTGCACACTTACATGCATTAAAAAAAATGGTACACTTGTGTGCTTATTATACGTCTGACAATATAAAAATATATATATAATCAAGTAAATGATAATTAAATTAGTTATTCAAAGTTTTCTTTTTATTAGAAATAAATTACATAAGCTCTTATTATTATTATGAATATTGCATTTCAATGCTATTTTTATATGTATCTTAAAAACTTGAAAAAAACCGAGGGCAGTGAGGTATCGTCAGTTTGAGTTCGGCCTGGAACCTGAGACGGATTTTTCAAGTATTCTTAGATTACACATGTTATTTTTAAGTAGAGATGTCATAAGGAAATAAGTAATTGTTGTAACGAGGGACAACAATACTGAGTGATATTTTTTAAGAATTAAAAATAGCTAGTATACACAGCAGCACATCGGGCTACCAAAAAAATCCGCAATCTATTTTGAATTCAATCAACCTATTAATTACGAAATCATATAACCTGATGTGCTATTGACTGTACATAGTTCTGTCAAATTATTTAGTATGTATCTTTTTATTTATTTTTTCTTCAGTATGCGAAATATATTAAATAGACTAGACGTAACGTGTAAACAGTACTAAAAATAATAAATATTTCATTTCCGTTTTATTTTTCGATTTTCATAATTTTAATGAAAAATAAAATTGGTTAATAAAACGTTTGGGATATTTATGTTATATCACTAGACAGACAACTACATTTACAGGGTTACATGATAATTCATTTAGTGCAAATTTTTATCAATTAAACTTATAGCAACAGCAACAAAATTCATTTCATGTTAATTTTGGGCACAACAAACGGTTTTCTGTCTAGTATGTTTATTAGACTATTGAATGTTTAGTACATAAGTGAATTCATGTTGTGTATAAAGTAATTTTATAAGAAAACAAATTGCAAATGAATAAAAAATAAAATTATTCTAAGAACATAATTGCACTGGGCTTTCTTCTATGCAATCCATGTGGTTTGATTAAGGTATATATATATTTTATAATAAAGAATTAAAATGAGTACCAAAAAGGTTGTATATTAAATACTTTCCCGGCAGTCATTGTACAATAGGTTTAAAGTTTACAAAAGAATTTATAGATATTCCGTAAGAAGTGATTCGATACCTCCCTCCTTATAAATCTCAAATAGTAAACGGTTATTAGTCGGGATTTTCTTTTGATAACGTGCGACAAGATTTTTTTTTCAGTCTAAACTACAATAGGGCAGAAGACCCCGTTTTTTACACTGCCCCCTTTTTGACCATTCGGAACTTCAAAGTATTCTAACTAACGCATAAGCATATATATTACTTTAACGTGAACGGTTTTTTAAATGTCGAATTATAGTAAAACTATCAGCATTAACAGCTAGATGTGTTAAAGTTAACTTTCTAACAGCTCTTAAAATGGCTAAAACTGGGTCATAATTGAAAAATGGCCACAACCGGGTCGCCTGCCCTACTTAGTTTAATAAAGAGTTATCAATTTGTGGAATATAAAGTATTGTAGCAACTAACTGGGATTGAGCGCAAACGATAAAAGTGCGTATTTCTTATCAACCTATGATTTACTGTGTCAACGTATGTTTAATAAATGAAACGACACACAATAACGTGCTTCGTGCAGCAGAGCGAACCCCTAACTCTAACCATAATTCTAGTCATTGGATACGATATTTCGTCTCATTTTACTTTTCGTGTAATCTATTAACAATAAAATAATGATAAAGACTGGTGATTATGGATTAGACAGTACATCAAATTAGTAATTTATCCCAAATTTATTCACCAGAAGAACCAAATTTAGTTAAAGAAGTAAGAGGAAACGAAATTCCGCGATAACATCGATAAGATGTCGTATTCTATGGCTAGAATCAAGCCTTACTCCTACTTCTGCCTAATTCTCTAGCCATAGTATACGTCATCTTAGAGACGTTATGACGATATATCCTTTCATGTTGCTGCTTTGACGTGTCTTTTATTGGGTTTTTCATCGTTGTTTGTTTCGTTCGTTTGCTTGCAAAGTAGATGTCAAAGTTGTAAAGTGAAACGAAATATCTATGTAATATCGCCATAATCTCATATCCTATGGCTAGGATCATGGCTATAGAGTTAAGCGGTAGACCTCCTAGATACTCGCAAACTATAGGTAATATCGTTTGAGTAATTAGATGGGTGTATATCCTGTGAAGTGCTTAATTTTTATCACTTTTTTTTCGACTTATTATATGAAGAAATCTATTTTTAATTCCATCGATAGACTAAAATATTTGTCTATTGATTAGACTATATTATCTATTTAGTGCTTTTGTTATGTGAGAAGTCGCTTAGTACGCTAAAGGAAAAACATTCTTATAATTGACTTGTACACTATGATTTTAATGTGTTAAATTGTTAAGTAATAATAAGAGTTTTTTTTTCGCCGACGTGTACCCTTACATGTCTAATTTTGTCTTCATTTTTACATAGAGGGAATAAATACGAAAATCAAAAACTAAGCAGCACGATTCGAGTTCGATGCTGCGACATTTTATGTCGACGGTATTGAAACTAAAATTCGCATGTGATCTGAGTGATAAGTATAAGTTTTACATTAACGTGTTCACTAGTGAGTGTGATAAGAATTTGTATGGAGATTCGTAGTTCTTGGTAGTTACCGCTAGGGGCGCTGTACCGGATTCCATACTATAAACAAAAACTTTACGCGCTCGCGATCGACGATGAACGTAAACGTAAAAAAAACTTGTACTGAGCACTCAGAGAGTTAAGTTTGAGTTTTTTACGCTTTATGTTCACCTTTGCTTTTAAGTTAAGATTTTATTTTGGTTACCGGCGCAGCGCTCCTGGTAACTATCATGAACTGCAAATTTCCATATAAATTCTAACGTCCTCACTAGTGAACAGTTAACGTGAAACTCATGTACAACAATACAACAACACAACCCTCAAATTTTTGTCATTGCACAGACACGGTATTATTGTAGTGGCTATCTAACCACTACATTTATGTAGTTATTCTTACTTTTTTGTATACAGCGCTTTTTGAAAAGTAATTTACATACTCATCTGTAAGTAAATTGGTTATATTATTAAAATTAAATATGATTATGGGACAAATGGTAGTAATTATTTCATGTAATAAATTTTTGTAATAACTATCGTTTAATTAAAGTTTTTAATACAATACATTTGTTTTTTTTTTTATATTTATATAATGATTTCCTCTAATTGATTGTGATATTAAACTCTATACATACAAAACATACTGTATAATTGAAAACCAACCAAGTGAGAGTCGGACTCGAGCACGAAGGGTTCCGTACCATTACCTATAAACACCGCAATAAAAACACGTTTTTTTGTATTTAATATTTTTTTTAGAGAAACATGATTGCATGTGTGGAAATTTTAACTGTCTCATTATCATGGTTTATAAATACAGCCTGGTGACAGACAGTCGGACAGACAAATGGACGGACAGTAGAGTTTTAATAATAGTGTCTCTCTTTATCTCTAATTATCTCCTTTTAAATGAGATATTTCTTTTAATAAAAGTTTATAACCTTTGTCGGTCCCGGGTTAGATTTCCGATCAGGTGAATGTAAAAAATGAACTCTTATATTTTTTCGGGACTGGGTGTTTTACCTTCGTTGTTTTAGATTTAATACAAGTGTTTTAGCTAAGGTGTTTTATGGTAATCGCGAATGCGAGGAAATTCCGAAAATGACAAACGAGCAATACGTTTGTTTTATCTAATTAAAAGTTTTTTATTTTTTCAGCTTCCTTAACAGTTGATAAAAACAATTTTTTTAGAAAAGTACCAACTTAATTTTTTTTAAAGGTGATATATAATAATACTTATCTTTTTTAAGCGGAGGTTTTCTGTAGGCAATTATTAATCAAATATAATCAAATTATAGCCGCCCGACTTCAATAGCAGTTTTTTGAATAAATCCCCTAAAAGATAAGAATTATAATAATAGGTAACACTAAAAATATTAAATATCTATGTAACCTCCACCTTTTCGTTTTTGAAGTCTGTTAAAAACAATGCCTGATGTAGTGGTAATTCGTCATTTTCGGAATTTCCCCGCTTTCGCTATTATCCCAATACTTAATTTGAGCAATTTGTGCGAAGTTAACTAGTATTCATTTATCATATACTAGCTGTTTTCCTGCGACTTTGCTCGTGTAAAGCCTTTGTTACCCGCACATGATTTTTAAAATCGGTCTAATGATTTCAGAACCTATTCAATGCAAACAAACAAGCAATCAAATATTACCTCTTTATAATATTAGTAGGTAGGTATATGTAGATTATTATTTATTTAATAATGTTACTTGGGTAGTTTGTATATGTTTTTAATAAAACGACAAAATTGGGTATTATTTTTATTATGAAACTGAAACTACTACACTGATACAAAATTCGGTCTATGTACCTAGTATACGTAGGTAAATTATTCAGATTTGATGGATCAATTTAGGTACCTAAAAGTGGTGTTTTGGATGAACTAACTTATTTTTTATTTAGCTACATGAATTTATAAGGTGATGAACAAATAAGCAAATAGGCGTTTCAAATTTTATGCCATCTTAGTAGTTTTCGGTTTAGATACTGTTTTAACGATGTACAGGGATCCTACCAATTATACAGAACACTAATAGGTCCACGGTGAAGAATAACGTGCCACAAGAATTAATAATTAATGTAATTTCATATATATTTGAATCAAACAAAATTAGTAAATTACGGTATGGTACGATCAATACTTGTTGACTTCTAGTAGATATTAGAATTTAGTGAATCTGATATTTTTGTCACTATTGTAGGTATAAGCTGAAGTCTCAGTAACTAATAATTTATTCAGAAAGAAATTATGTGTTTAGAATGTATTGCGATAATGTCTACGGCGCTCGCATCTGTGGGGCGGCATGGTATGGCAAACAGATTGTTTACTTTATTTGATCCTTAAAAATGATAGTACCTTAATAAATTTAATTTTGTTCTTTGTAAATGAGTCCATGTCCGCAGCATTCAAAATTACAAAATTTTCATACCAGTAATAGGTAATGAGTTTCTTTGTTTTTGCTGTTTTTTTTCTTTATTTTAAATTTAGATATCGCATAAATTTTGTTCTTCGTTGTTCTCGTCGATATTGTTATCCTACGAACGTAAGAAACCAAAATAAAACTTTACTAGATACTTAAAAATAATTATTGTTTCTCTAATTGAAAAGGAAATTTTGAATAGTACACCGTGTCTATTATTATAAAACTGTGATAAGCCCGAAAAGGTCGGAAAAGTTTTATCATCTAATAAATATGAGCAGGTACCTACAAAATGTATATAATTGAGATTTGATAACTAACATATATTATTTACATTTATTTATTTACGCCGAATAAGATGTTCTTAAAAATACAAACTTACATTAACTTATGAATCCGTAACTATTGTGCTATTTATTTCTTGACCACAGCCATTTTAGTTTCTATTAAATACTGTTATCATAATTTTACATTACTTACGTTTCTATGTTATATAGGTTTTATATTTGCAAATAATAACGTAATCAAGGGTACCATTAATAGAATAACTTTATTTTCAAATCCATATTTTGCACCTATTTCATTTTATACCGAATGTACAAGTATATAATAGGTAAAGTAAAAAATGTAAATCAATTAGAAGTAAGTGTTTAGCGACGTCAATGGAAGCCATACGGTAAATTCTATTAGTTCTTCTTGATAGTTTAATAGAAAACTTCTCTACTTTCCTCTATAAATTTCTATGATCCGGTCTTGGTCTACATACTCGAAGATATGGGGAGCATCCATCAATATACCGACAGTTCCTGCTGTAGTGACTATGAAGAAGATATACAGTTGTAGCCTGTCGATCACCATGGCGACGTACTTCCAGTCTTCCCGAGTCTGTAATGGGGTAAATTATCACTGACATTAATTTTATTTTGCAATTGAAAGTTGCCATAATTAATTCTTTATTTCTATTGATTATATCAAAACTGTCCATTCAAGGGAACTAATGACGCATCTAATGGCTAATGCTATGACTTTAATACTCAACTGTATTTATTGACTACACATTTAGAGTGCAATTATCTTCTTTCCTCATTCAATTTGTAGGTATCTTAAGTATCCCTCTAATCTACGTTATTCAATATATCTATATTCTTCAGATGTAAGGGATAGCTTCTTTAAAGGATAAAATGTAAATTTTCACGGTATTCTATATTTTAAAAACACTTATTTGAATTTATCAAAGTTAAGTTAATGTATCTATTCTAATACATTTTACCTGTATGTAAAGATCTTCATTTCGTAAATGCTCTGCAATAAATTCAACTGCCTCTGTAGCTTTTGCCGCTTCGGGCGATAAGAGAAGGGAATCTGAGCTCTCTGATTCTCGTCTTTCTCCTCCAAGACCGAGCCCTCCGAGCGCGCTACCTAAACCACCTAATGCTCCGATTTCTCCTCCACCAGCTGCCCGGTTGATTTTGCAATTAGGATGATGATGAAGATCTGACAGTTCCATTGCTTCCATTTTACTCTGCTTAGCGCCAATAGCACTGAAAACAAAATATTACTGTTGAAAAAATATTGGAAAATATTCCAGTACAGCATTGTGAATGCAAATTGATTAAATATAATACGAGTAATTAGAACAAATTTTTATCTTTATCCAAAGTTTAAATATATGAAATAAGTAACAAGTGTTTGAAAAATCTGTTAGGTCCTGGGTAGCTCAGTGGTCAGAGTAGTCGGCCGGATTGCGAGAGGTTGTGGGTTCGAATCCCATCTTAGAGTACCAGGGACAAAGTGATTTATTAAGCGTTTCATTAAGAATATATTACTGCACCTAAGTATAAATAAAATTTTCATTTTTATTTAGGAAAGTGAATGTAATAAAATAAATAAGATCCTGTTATGATTTTATGTATTATATTACGATCATGAGAAAGATGTGCTCGTAAAATTAATGTGCTCAACACCATTTGAAAAACGAATACCTGATATGCTTGGGTAGATCATGAGGAGCTGGAGCAGCAGCGTGGGGCGGGGCACCCATACCCGGCATCTCCATCATCCAGCGGAGACGAGTCTTCCGTGGACGTTGCATTAGCAGCGCCGCTGGCAAATAGTGTAAGAAAACGCTCCGGATCCACAATGGCATTCTGTAAAATAACATATGTTTTGGAAACTATTAATATAGTTAATTATTATCTTTATTTGAACCAGTGATTTTCTCACGATTTTGGTTCGCGTATAGGACGTGTGCGTAATAGGACCTATAGCCAATGTCACACGCGTACGATGTAACTCACCGTGTATGAAAATTCCCGCCCCCCCACCATAAACAAATTAACTAGAAGTTTATCTCTTTACAATATTAATATATAGATTATAAAACTGATAATGTCAGTATTATTTCGACTAGATAAGTTAAAGGAAATGTTGACTTTACAGTTATTGTAATAGATTTCGCAATTTGTGTACCTGTGCGTCCTCGGACCTCTGAAATTCCAGTTGATAATGATAACTGTGACAAGTATACTGACTGTGTTCATGATAAAAGTGAACAACAGATACTTCGCTATGAGAGGCAGCACTAGAGACGTCGGCGGTAGAATCTTTGATACCAATAACAGAAACACAACCAGTGACAGTAAAATACTGATACCCAATGTTACCTGAAAGATAATAATAACAATGTATATAAATCCTAATTTTAATGTATATGTGAAAGTTTCTATGTTTGGATGTTTGTCCGTCAATCACGCCGAAACTATTGAACGGATATTGATGGAATTTAGTAAAGAGATAGGGTATTAGCTGACTTAGATAATAGAATACTTTTTATCTCACTAAACATTTCCCTAGGGAGCACGCGAGCGAAATTTCTGGCGAAAGCTAGTAAATGAATATAATAGTCACCCTTTTTATAATGTTAATAGGTAATTGTTATGGTTTTTTGAAACCCTAATTAAGATTACGGTTTCAAAAGAACCAGTTTTTAGTTAAGAATAATTTATTATTCAGTAGCTCGGTTGCGTAGTGAATACGAGTCGCTGCCCGCAATAGTTGTTGTTAAGCAACCTTTGGGACCTTTGCAATGGTCGGTCACGGGATGGGTGACCAAATATCACTATCTCGAGCTACTCCGTGCTTCGGGGGACAAGTTATGCTGTTGGTGCCTGCTGCATTTGCAGTCGTTAATATCCTACAATCCGCATTGGGCCAGCATGGAGTGTCGGGGCATGCCAATCCTCCTTAACCATCCATAAGGAAAGCCCAAGCCCCTTGTAGTGGGGACAAAAAGGGCTAATGATAATGACTTTATTATGACAACTAATAAAATTTGTACAGAATTTGTGTTACGATTTCAGAAACAAAATGACACAAAAGTACAGTTTGTTTCTTTTAAAAATTTTAAAATTAGCTATATACAAACAGACTCCATAATCATCTTATATCAATAAGCAGTTTTACTTAACAGGTAAGCATACACACATTGACATTATAAGAAATATCAGTTACGTTAATATATTAAAAAACCGCAAAGTCGTCGTGGAGCACAGTTACGTCATAGAGTGTCAATGAACTGAAACCTTTATTAACTTTTGAAATAGGTTTTATTTGATGGAATCTTTATGGTATGTGGATGTTTTTTAATAGAGCAGTGCTGAATGATATAAAAAACAATAAATCTATTCTTACTTTCTCGCCTGCTTCAGCTGGCAGATAAAAGACGAGTACACAGAGAAACGAGATCAAAACAGTGGGTAAGATCAAGTTCACTGTGTAGAACAGTGTTTTGCGCCTGATGATGATATAAAATGTGATGTCGGTTTCCGTGGGGTGATTTCCTTCGTAAATGTTTAAATAGGCCGGTACTTCGATAATGTCCCATGTGCCCGATTTCCAGTAATCGGACAAGTCGACGAAGTTCTTATTGTTGTATAAGGCTAGTGACACTTGGTCGCCATTGAAAGTCCACGAGCCGAATTTCATGATGCACGTTTGCTGATCGAATGGAAAATATGTCACGTCGATTGTACATGAACTCTGGAAACAATATGAACACTGTTATACCTATAATAATGATTACATATCTAAAAATATCGCCCAAATCATAACAGACAGATAAGTTGCCCAGAAGAATGGCTAGACTGATTGTCTATGCTTTCTAAATGTCAAGTTTAGTTCCATATATGGAACTAAATCTCTACAGTATCAGAGCTTTCTTGAAATCTTTTAATAATAATCATATGATTTTGAACAAAATATATTTTGTATGTACGTATTATTTATTGAAAAGTATTTTTTATCTAACTATTGTTGAATAATTAACATTTTACCTGATAAATGGCCGGCGGCACCCACAATACTTCTCCATTAGGATAAATTAAAACGTTAGATTTATATCGGACTTCATAGTTACCGTCAGCGCTGAAAAAGACGAAGAGACAATCGTATTTTATTTATTTAACAAACTTTATTGACCATATTTTAATTGGAATTGGTACAAGGTACGGACTTAATGATAACAGCAGTTTCTATCAGTCAACCAGTATATATATTAAATAAATATCGCTCAGATTTTTAAATAAGTGGCTAAAACCCTCCTAATAAGGAGTATCTGAAACAGATCACGAAGGTCTGAAGAACCGAATTAATATAATGAGAAAAGTTAAATAAGTTGATATAATGAATCCTATATTGTCCCGACTGGGAATTGAACCTATCACATCAGAACTAGTGACAACTTGAGAGGGGCGTGAAATTCGCTCAATTACGAAGTTAATCAATCGTAATATTCGTATTCGTGTCGTAATATTGAGCTTTGCTATTCTTTTAATAAGTAAAAGTTTTTACCACAAAGTCATTTAATTATATAAAAGAATATTTTTAATGAAAAATGGTTAAAAAATATTTTTTGTATTATATTGTGAATTCAAATTTGATCAAATATAAAAGCACATTAAAATTGCGTCTCTTTTTACCACTCCTCATATGAATCATTAAGTTGGTGACGCCATTTGAATTTTTTTTTTATCAAAATTCGGAATAAACTTGATGAACCAATATTTACTTCGTCATAGAAAAAATTAAGAAAATTCTACTAACTTGTTAAATAGCACGATGTCAGGTTTCCAAACTTTATCAGGTGGTAGACGTAGAACTCCAATTCCACCGTAGTCGGCTTCGTCCCACATCAATTGATAGTCCATCCAAACTAATCGGAGCCATACGTTTGATTTCATAATCTGATTTTTTTCGTTCTGAAATGTAATTTAAAAAGTCGTGAATTTTTATAAGTGGCAGTTGACTAAAATACACACAAAAGTGTGCTTTTATATTAAGAATATAATTCTCTAGGTTAGGACTATGTAGTTCCATATAGAACTGTAGACGCTAGAACTAAAATATCTATTGTGACAGGCCGCTTGAACTATAGTAGCTTTTTCAGCCTATAGCTACCTGACATCCCTGCCTTTTAGAGCTTTTATATATCTTCGTGTCGTTAACTCTGCAGACAGTTTTGTTAAGTCTTCGATTAGATATTTAGCGTGATTCAAGCTCAGTTGGTTGTGTCAATTTTGTTTTTATTTCTTTGATTTGGTTGTTCTCCGAATTCCAAATATTGGAAATAAAAATAAATACAATAGTTACGTACGACGTTAATGAGTTGAACAAAAGCTAGGCCGAAGCGGACATCAACCTTCTGGGTCATGTTTTGTACAGGCCGTATTAGTTTATTGTAACCACGGAACAGATCGCGGACTAGACGCTCTTCATCTTCCGAACACCAGCCTGGAGATACAAAACAAATTTGGGTAGGTTCTGGTCAATAAATACTTCTTGAAGGAGAATTGTAAATTTTGCTGAAGTATCATTAGAATATCAAAATAAAAACTTTCGCCATCATAGTACCTAAAAGCTTACTATGATGGCGAAAGTTGGTTAACAACAACGACCACGGGTCGTGGCGCACATCCACTACACCACTGAGCTACTATCAAGAAGAAATGAAGGAAAGAAAAAAAGCAGCCCTTGCTAAGTTTCTTGCCGGTTCCATTAGGTAGAAGGTCTCGCGCTGTAAATTTAAGAACCTATGGCGTATAGTTTTGACTTTCGCGAGTGCTTGTAAAACCTAGACTGAATCTAGACTAAGTTAAGATTTTGATTTGAAACTGAACATAATACTGGACTCTGGCGGCACCCAACAGGGCATCAGTAATAATAATTGAAAACAATAAGATTAAATTCTATAGCCATATATTAAGGCGCAATAAAAACAAAACAGCTGCTTCTGTTAATATGTATAGGTATGACATATGTATGTATACCCAACATAAGAGGAAAAATTGCAACGTTACATACGAGTACTAGTATAATTCACAAATTTAATTCATTATACTACGTTAGAATATTGTCTAAAAAGAAAATTATAAATTAGATGTTATTATAGTTTAAAAACTAAACTATATAGGAGTACATGAAGCTTCTTGATGCTGTAGCGACGACAGATCAATAGAGTGAATCACAAGATGAACTGGCTCATCTCAGTATATTTCGAAATATCATAAAAGCACGACTTAAGACATTATGTCGATTCATAAATATAATTGTTAAATATTTTAAAACATACAATAGCCACTGTGTAAAATAAAACTTAATTAAAATATTTTTCAATCGTCCGTTAATAATATAAGCTACTTTAAATATTTAAAAAACTGTAGTTAGTAAAAAATATACGAAATATAGTCCTTTTGAAAGTTTATATATTTTATTGGTTATGGTTTATGTATAAAAATATGTATTTTAAATATAAGCAGATTGTATAACATTGGTTGAACGGTTGTTATCGGTACCTGAATAAAGGATTGTCAGCAGAGCTGCGAGCAGCAGGCAGGCACGCGACCCGCCCAACATGGCGGCGCGCACTGCCGCACGCAGCAAACCCTCACGTCCGTAAAGCCTGCACCCCGATAAGGCTGCCAACAATTGTGCCTTTTCCAAGACTTTCTTCAAGAGTTTTGTAATATAATGCGTTTATTATACATTAAAGTATTTTGTGAAAGCATTTTAGACAACACATTAAATATGTAATATTATATATATTACAATTGATTCATCGTATTTTCATTTTTAAACCACTATCTTAATTCACCATTAACATTTATGATATATAGAAAGTTTGGATTTTTATATCTGAAGTTTGCTAATAAATAAATTTTAATAGGAGTTGGATATTTTTCTAGCATTGTCACCCTACACCATGCTTGCACTTACTTGCATACTGACTGCTTTCAGTAGGTAAAGGAAAAGCTTTCGAGGAGTGATAATTCTTGCTATTTATATAATGCATGTTATGCTTAAGCTAAGTATATAGTACAAACAACAGATTATGCCTTATTAAAGATATTGACAGTATTACGAGTAGGTAACTGCGGCAAAGCAGTCTGACTGAACCAAGATATTTTTATTTACGTTCTCTAGTTCTTCGACAATTAAAATAATTAGCTGTGTCAATAAACTGATTTTTGCATAAATCAGTTTTAGGTTATATTTGATATAGTCTTGTTTAGATATTTTCTAGTAGGTAATTTGGAGGTTTTTCTTTTTAAATTTTTCATTAATTGTTTTGTTTTGTATACAGAATAAATATTATATTACCTTTCTACAAAAAAATACCGCTATCAAAGGTTATATTCAGTAGAAAATTATTTAATGCGCATGTGCGGTTATCCCGTGGGATAGCATCGATTGTATTCAAGCTTTGGTTACGCCGAACTCTCCGGGAAATATAGGTCATGGTCCTTCATCCGACCCTTATATAACAAAAATATACATAAGTACATAACCTACTTATGTATACCGCACTTCAATAATTGATTGATTCTTTCATAAATAAATAAATATTGACAACATCACATACATTGCCCAGATCTTAATTAGGTAGCTAAAGAAATTGAATTAAGGTAACCTAACACAAAGTAGGCAACACATCACCAAAACAAGACATAATTAAGAAAAGTTCACTTTATACATCGACCCGACCGGGAATCGAACCCGGGACCCCAACGATTTGTACATTTTGAAACCGGCATAAGAGCCATTCGGCCATGGTGGTAGGTAAATGTATTTATGTCTACCTTATTATTTCTTGTATTAGCTTATATTTAGGGGTAAATTTAATAAAACAATGTATTGTTTCATTCGTTTATATTTAATAAACAAAATGCAATTCAGAGTATTAACCCTAACAATTGAACAAATTGTGGAGACAACAGGTCATCCTATTACCGACGAATAGACGTCACGCATCAGAAACAATTAGGTCCTTAAGTACCAGGGAACCATGGATGCGCGGCGATCTCTCGTCCGGGTCGTCACACAACCTCTATCGTATGGTTGATCAGACAAAATAGAAAAATAATATTAGTAACGATTGAAAACATTGAAGTATAATAATAGCCGCTCCGCAACTTCCAAAGGACCGTCTACAATTATTAATCTATGCCTCGAAGAAGGAAAACATGTGAGAGCTGTGCGTGGGTACGTTTTCCGTATTTGTACCGACGCACTAGCTCTTAAGTTTAGACGTTTTCTTTCTATGAGGCTCACAATGTTTTCGAATATAAAATAAACATAAATATGGATGAATGTGTTAATAGAGTGCATGAAGAGCTGAAAGAAATGGGTGGGACACTGTTTACTTTTATGTCAGCAGATATCCAAAAAACGAGCTGTTGTTCCGATTGGTGTCAAAGCTATCTCTAACACTGTACTTTAAAGGTAAATTCGTATTGTCAGCGTTTTACAATGTTTACCTTGAGATGCTAATTAGTGCGATGATAGAAACTTATACAATTCAAATAGCAGAAAAGAGTGATGACTTAAGAAACCCAATTTTGTTTTCCAGATATTTGTATCGACAATAAAGAATTTTAACAAGGAATGAAAACATAAATGCTAAGATTAATCAGCATATGAATCACAGTAACCGTATGGAGAGATGTACAAACTTGATAATTATTATGTTATATTAATTATTCGTATAAGTCGTTCCGAAAGACCCAGTATGACTTTTACAAAATAATACTTTGTTTAACTACAACTTTTAACGAACGTTTTATTAAGCTATAGCCATGGATATTTACCATTTATAACAATATCGACCCGTTCACAACGAGGCGTATCACAACCTGTACCAATTGAATCAACATTGTTTGTAAAGATCTATTCTAGCTAATGACACAAATACATCCGAAAATAAAGTTAGGGATCATAACCACGATTCACGGAATCGAACAAGAAGGAAATAAAGGGCACGAATTTCTGCCCAAATCCTATACTGTACAATAGATTTTAAGAATTGAGAAAGTTCTAACAAAGTTTAAATTTTAAATGCGAATCAGGTCGTTCAACGGTATGAAGGAAGACGTTTTTGTGCTAAAATTTTTATAATACGGCCATTTTTTTGAGTCTGGTGGCCATTCGAAGTGGTGACTATTCTAGCGTGGACTCCAAAAGCTGACAGATGAGCATGCCGCTCGCGCCTGCTTAGGGAGAGGCAGTACATACCGACTGCACACCGATCACCCACAGAAGTAGTTCCACAGCAACATTTGCCTCGAAAACACTTTTGCATTGGATAATGCTGACTATGAGGTTGATATTGAAGGGGTTAAATCGCTGTTTTTGACTATTGAGTGTGACGACCTTTCGTCATTTTTCTTGGAAGAAGTAGCTCAAGGGACATGAGCAGAGTTAAGGATATTATTTGGGTAGGCAGTATTCGGTTGGCGCACAGGGATGGCAGTCAGCGGTAACTTATATCTACAGGGGGCGCGGTCAACGAGGCAGGCGGCGGCAACTCCAGCGCCGCGGCGTCGGTGCCCGCGCCACTTCGCACATCACAACTTAACAAGTATTCGCGGTATCACAGAACGTTACGCATGCGCAGCCGCAGGCGGGCGGGTCGCTACGACACCATGATGTGTGGCGCGGATAGCAGCACGGCTAGCGTGGCGATGATTGTGAACAGGGTAAAGATAATAAGGCACAGTCTGTCCACGACCATGGCGGCGAATTTCCAGTCGCGCGAAATGTCCGCATCTTCGTCATCTTTGCGCATCTGTGAAGGATTGCACGATTTACTTTGGGAACTAGTTCAAATATTTTTTTTATAACATCTTTATCGTATTTAATTTTTTGTACAATCACCTGATCTGTGATGACTCTTATTTCTTTAAGTATTAGCGAAAGCTCGTAGTCAACACCAAAACAGCTATGCGCCGCCAGACCTGCACCGTTTTCCTCGCCCCCCCTGCAACAGGAAAAGCTCTGTAGGCACCGTTCATATAAAACTTATATACTATAGGTACAGCCGAGGAACGAGGGGCGCTACGGGAATAATGCTGAATAATGTCACAGAGTTATTATTAGCCGATACCCAAGACCCAAAGAAGATACATTAGCGAGAAGTGAAATTTTATTTTAAATGAGTGTGATTATCGAATGTCGAGATAGCTGTTAGGGTCGGGTTTACTGCGGAACGTTCGAGGCGGGGTTATAATATCGTAACCGATCTATTTACGGCGAGTAGTGTTCGTGTAGATCGTCGAGGGACCTGTAGTAACGGCAGCAGGGCGGCTGCTGCGATTGCGCGTGCCTGAAGTCATCATCGATGTCGAGCACGTTTGCTAGAAGCGACTTGGAGGAGCGTTCGCGCAGCTCCAGGTCGGGAGGAGGAGGGACGCGTGCCGGAGGAGGTGTCGCCGCCGAGCCTGGTCGCGACATGCGCAGAATCCACGGCAGCCAATACAGGAACACGCAACGAATCTGCGAATGAAATTCACTTGAACAAAGTCAGTTCGTATAACACATGCAGACCTGTAATGATATAGGTTCACTTTGAACCTGTATCCAGACGAACTCACTAAGAGCAAGTGTTTTTAATATAAGTATTTCGATCTAATGATCATATCATTAAGACGACGTGTATATTTTTTAACAGATACAAATAGATCTGTAATATTAATTAGATATAGAATAGGTAGTTCAATCTTAATAAATAAGTAAGTATAGCCATGTAAATATAATAAAGAGCCTCGTTCCCTGTTCCATCGTGCATAGTGTATACGAACCCAATCGCTCATTTCGTGCGTATCCGCGTGCCTGTGGTGGTAGTTGAGGATGAGTATAGTGGAGACGACAGAAGAGGCAACCATGAACATGATGCAGTTGAAGTACGTGCCTAGGAGTGGCACTGCGTCGGACGTGGCTGGCATGGTCTCCGCCACCATATTCAGAAACACCGTCAGCGACAGCAGAATGGTCACACCTGGTTTACATTGGATATATTGTGAAAAATACTGAAAATAAGTACTTAAGTAGTATGAAGATTCTTATAAATTTGCATATTTTCTAAGTTCTGGGATTGGCATTGTTTAATGAATTAGTTAACAAAAGTTCTAAGTATATATGGGACAATTAACATAAAGGATAAGATGATTTGATTAATTGTGTAACTGGTTTTATATATTAAAATATTATGTAAATCAATAGCTGTTAAATTATATAATAGGGATGACGACAGGATATAAAAAAAATATATTTAGTCAGTCAGTCGGATAATAGAGATATATTAGATACGTATTTTTTTCAACTTTATTTTTTTTTTAATTTAAATTAGATAACGACATTAAAGTTAAGAAGAAGGGGTTCATTACATCACAGTATTTTCGAGAATATACAAAAGCGTGACGTCATCTGATATTTTAACTAAATGTAGAGCCGCAATTTAATGATTACGAAAAAGAAATAAAATAACACGTGTTTTATATTTTTCAACAATCTAACTGACGGACAAACAATTATAAATTTACTTTTAACATACCTAGTGATAGCTTTTCGCCTGAGTCGGGAGGCAAAGTGAATCCAAGTAGCGCCATGGAGGCGATTAGCACGCACGGCACGATAAGATTGAAGAAATAGTAGAGTGTTTTTCGCCGGATAACGACCGCAAATGTGATATCAATGTACGGCTCTGGGCAACAATTGTAGTATATTTCGTTGCGTTTGCCTGGTACATCTGTTGATTATTAAAAATATTGTTGTCATTTTATTATGGTAAGGTGTAAGGAAGTAGCTCTGTGGTGAAGTGGATAAGCGTCCCGGCCCACGACTGTTGTTGTTAAGCAACTTTAGCAAAGGCTCGTTCACGGGATGGGTGACCAAAAATATTATCTCAACCTATTCCGGGCTTTGGAAGGCACGTTAAGCAATTGGTCCCGGCTGCATTTGCAGTCGTTAAAACCTTCCAATCCGCATTGTGCCAGAGTGGAGAGTCAGGGTCCATCCTTCTTAATCATCCGTAAGCATCCGCCCCTGCAGTGGGGACGTATAAGGGCTGATCTTTACCTATGAGCTCCCATTCGCCATTCGTGACGAAACTGCTTATATCTCCACCCGTTTCGTCTTGTAGTTGAAGATCCAACTGTGAAGTTGAGCATAATTAATGAAAATGAATATGAATAATTTGTGTGACTCTGCATTTTTGATTTATTAAAGACAGACTAATACCCGCATTCTGAATTGAGAATTTGAAATAAAGAACATCTCAAACTGTACTTAAACTTGCGTAAAAAAACAGTTGAGATTTTGTACTTTTCTTAATTCAAAATCCGGCTGTAAGTAACTTAGGATCTAAGAACGTATCTCTATATAACTTTATCCATAAGATAAAGTTATATGTGAATAGCTGTTTTCCCGTGATTTCACTCACGTTAATAACAGCCTATGTCACTCGCTTGTGATGTAGGTTCCCTTAGGTGAAAGAATTTTTAAATCGGATCAGTATTTCCGAAGATTATAATAATAATAATAATTAAAATAAAATTAACACCAAAGTTACACATTTTTTTTTTAAATTCAATATCAAGTAATGTCCTCAAAATTAATTTTCATTCTTTAGGGTATCATCGTGATCATACTTGATATCCGTCATAAGTCCAACTGCCGAATTTCATTTCGCAACGCTGGTCGTCGAAGGGGAACCAAGTGATGTCGATCTTGCATGTACTCTTGAAGATCCCAGGGGGCACGTATAAACATGAGCCGTTGTTGCGTACCACTACGTTGGTCGGGTACGTACTGTCGAACCCTTCGTCTGCGCTGTAATGTACATTTAGTTTAGAACCGAGGACAGTTATAAAAAAGCTTAGAATTATAAAATATGACCTCCTTCCATAAATTGCATTATCTCTTAAGTACATGTCCCTGCCAGATCAATGTAGAGACCATTATTTATATTAACATTTTATTATGTGAACAGGGAAAAATTATTTCTGATTTTTATAGTAGAAAAATATTAAGCGACAAATGTGTCAAGAGATAAAAGAAAAATATTAAGCTTAGGCGAAACATAAGATTAAATGTTTTCTAGTTAAGCCATGTCTTGTTCTAGGTTAGTGAAAACGGGTCTAAATGTTTTAATTGGTGTCATTTTCATTTACAAGTGAGTAAAATATTTGTGGTACTACAATATTTTACCTGTTGTACATAAGGACGTCTGGTTTCCATAGCCGGTGTGGGGGTACTCGCAAATCTTTGACTCCACCAAAGTCCGAAGTGTTCCATCTCAAGTTCATATCATTCCATTCCTACAGAAAAAGTAAGATACATATATTTTTAATTCAGAAATAAAGCGAAGTTAACTGTACCTATAAGCCATGCTAACTGTTAGCTTAGCGAATCCATCGAATGTAGTAAGGCAGCTTTTTGTAAGTTTATTTATATTGTGGTTAAGGTATAAATAACTGTTTCTTACCGATTTGTTTTGTTCTGTTATCTTAACAATTCTATTATGTAATTGGAAGAGAATCATTGTAGAAGAAATTTTAATATTTACGATACAACTTGAACCTGCACTCTTGGAACTGTCCGAAATTTTGTTCTCGCAAGTCTTTTTTCGTGCAAATAATTGTCGAAAATGTGGTATAAATGGTAATACGGTAGTCATTGGACGAAGTGAGGATTTATAATCTTTATTGTTTCCTAGCTTCAAGTCTGGAGTTATCATTGCGTATTAATATCGATAATGGATGCTGCTTTGCTACAAGTTTTTACTATAGTTGTTTGTAGTTCCATAGAGTAAAAATGCACAGCACTAAAGCTACGTAAAATTCTGTTATTATTCAAACGAATCTGATGTAGCTGTAATGAATTTTTACCATAAAGTGACCATCAAATTGTTACCACCATCAAATTTCCATGGGTAAGCTTAGGTTTTGGTCCAAGTAATGACTCTTAACATGGGGTCCATTGTATTGTTTCAAAAAATCATACTGCACGCCCTAGCCATATTCTTTCCAAACACGACTTTCGAAACTTATGTTCGGAAATATGTACATTTTTAAAGGCTTTAAGAATAACTGAAAGTTATATAATCAAAAAGTTATATATCATTCATAGTTTTTGTATTAATATTTTTTTATTTAAAGTGGTGATGTCATAATTAAACCTTTAATAATGTTTATCTATAGATACTGTGGAACCTATAGATTGTGTGATCAAAGCATTTTGTGTACATTTCCCTTCGCTAAAACCACGAAAAATGATCAACCACAAACATGTTAGCTAATGGACAAAGTAAATTGCTTTATAAATATCGTTCCATTTGGCAAATACTCACTAATTTGAGCCAGATGTTGGTTATTAGTAGCTGGTTTTTCTCGTCCTGTTGAATTAAAAAATATTGCATGTAATTATTGTGTAATATAAATAATCATTAGTCACATACCTATGCCTATTTTTTTTTTACTTAATCATATACCTATTTTTTACTTTATAACAATCGACAACCGCAAAGACTGAGATTAAAATAATTATTAAAAGGATCAGTGGACATTGGTTTGTTAAAGACGGAAATTCAAAACCCAATTTATATAATAAGTAAGAAAAAAATATAGTTATTTTCTATCGTAGGTAAAATAAAGACAAATGTAGCAACTATATAAGTGGAACAATATCGACCATATGAAAAGCTGAATAACAAGATGTAAACATATGATATATACTAGTAAAATAGATTTTTTCGTTAAAATTAAATACTATAAATAGGTGGTAAAACAATCACCGTTTTGTATTACTATAAAAAAGAAGACGGTATAATGCAATAAGCTAACGTTGAAGGCGAAGTAATGACATCTTTGAAGTTACTGAGGAAGTATGGATAATTCTACTACCACTTCTATTTATTATATATTTAACGGCGGGTAGTCCGAAGATGCTATTACGAAGCCCAAATAGATCGTCCATATCGGAGGACTATCTCTAAAATAACACTGCAGGCATGTATACCAACGTGGATTTGTTACATTTTATCACTTTTCATACGAAAATATAACGAGATGAGCGTGATCTCGTCGGATGTCTTTACTCCTCGGCGATCGGAAACAGAATGTGTGCCAAAATGGCGGCAACTTGGTTTTTATAAACGAACTGTCAAAGTCAGTGTCACCATTCTAATAAAATTAAAAGTATCGATGATCATGCTCTCTTTACAATCGAGTAATTAAGTAATCGAGTAACTAGCGATTAAAATAAAAGAAACTAAATCAAACGATCTTCGTAATGATGATGCGACATATTTATTATGTGAAATTTTATTTTTCAATTTGTATTATTGTAATTTCTTTTTACTCAAGCCTATGGTTAGTGTGTTGGGTCTATGATGCAGAAGTTACCTAAGCATGGGTGACCAAAAATTATTATCTCGAGTTCCTCTGTGCTTCGGAAAGCACGTTAAGCCGTCGGTCCCGATTGCATCTACAGTCGTTAACAACCACCAATCTGCACTGGATCCGCATTGGGTCATGGTCCATTCTCCTTGTTTGATTAGATTTGATCCCATCCAAAGAGGAGTAGCAGTGGGGACAATAATAGTCTGGTGAGTGAATCTTTTTTTGAGAAGCTTATAAAATTTGGCGCACATATATTTCAATATATGTAGAGTATCACTTTTATCCTGGTTAGAGCTTCCTCAAGCAGTGGATTACAATTATCATAGTCGGAGATAAGTAGTAATTGGTTATAAGATAGTTTCACGTGATAAGACTCACTACGTCGATGATCTGCATGAGCGTGAGGCCGAAGGAGAGTTGCAGCGGGTCGCTCTCGTTGACCACGGGCCGCTCCAGCACGTTGTAATGATCTAGCAGGTGATGCAGCAGCCGCTTTTCGTGGTAGCCACCGCACGCCTCTGTTGGATAATGTAAGTTATGGTTACAATTGTGCTGTGCTTGTTCACTTTCTGATTCTGGAAGTTGGTAAGACCAGGGGTGCTATCTTCTAACTCTCTAGCCAAAGGATACGACTTTAGCGATGGTATGGCGATATTTCGTTTTATATTACTACTTTTATACGTACTTTAATAATGACGAACGAATGATATAGAACGATGATAATAATATTACAAATAATGTTAGGTTAGGTGACTCCAATTTTCCACACTTAGACTTTATAATCGGTTCCATTGTGCGTGAAAAAGTTGGTTGTCTTATTTCGATCAACCCAACTCCGCCCAGAAGCGCAGAAGCTTTTTAGGGTCTTCGCAGGCTTCGCAGAATGTTGAAGGATTGCCTAGTATGTGTCCCCGGTTTGCCGCTAGGCTCTCGCATTCCAGAATAGCGTGAACGATGGTTTCTTCTGTTGACATAACCGCCCTACAGAGAGGACTGTCGGTAATACAGTTATGGTAGGATTGTGCGAAGATCCTACCGGCTCATACGGTGCAGCGACCTGGCTAGTTTTGGTTTGGGTTGTAGTAAATCGTCTCTTGATTGTCGGAAGCCAACCGTTTGCGCCCATCGTTTTTGTGTGCGCGAATATGCGCGACCTTAACCATGCTCTTACCTGTGAGAAAGGTAGCGATACCATATGGTGGACTTCTGTTGGTGGTAAACTGGACCCCTTTCTGGCAAGTTCATCGGTTACGTTATTGCCAATGGATCCGCTATGACCTTTTATCCACTGTAGGTAGCTAATGTTACGAACGTAGTCATTCATTTTATTTTAACCGCCAAAAGTTACCCAACAAAAGTCATGTCGAAGTAGTAAAATCGATTGAAATATTACCATAACATCGCTAGGATGTCGTCTCCTTATGGTTAGAGATTTAGGCGGTCGCACACCTGAATATCTCCAATTCTTTTGTTATTCGAATCTATCTCAACTAAGACCCAGAATAGTAGTAGCAAATAAGTCATTATTATAATTTCCTACTGACATTACACGCTAAGTTTTGACGTTTAACAGTTTATTAATTGTGAAATGTGAGTGGTTGAGTTTGATATAGTGATTAATACAAAATTAAATTGAACATGACGGACTTCTCTCTTTTCAAATAACTAAGAATCAGTAGCATATTCGTATTACGGCCGTCTTAATTACTTTGATATTACTATGTTTCATAATTAGCAAAGGGCGCAACAAATAAGTTAGAAAGTCTCAAACGGTATAGATAAATATGGAAATTGGTATTGAGCTGGTGTATTGCTTATTACTTACGAATGATACTAATAATTTGAAATAATATTTTTGAAACATTGTCAGCATTTAGTATGCTAGCTAACCTTAATGTTATTTCTTAAACACTTTCGAATCGTTTATTTATTTGCAATAGAACCTATACTAATTAAAACTAAGTAATTCATTAGCTTCATAATTTATAATTGCTTTAGTGCTACTTTTAGTATTATTGTATATAATAATTTATAAGACACTAAAACATAAACATCTTGTTATTTTGATGACATAATTAGTATATTACACAACGTACATAAGTATATAAATTGATATCACATAACGTAACGCGTTGATGTCTTTTATAACGTTTTTATTTTCTATGAAGGATTTGATTAAGATTTTAATGAATATTCCATATTTAAGGTTGAGTGTTAAAGTTTTTCATAAACAATATTCCTTTGACATTATGTTCCTTTTCATTAATTTTGAAGGAGAGAGGTTTATGTTATTGTGTAGGCGTCAGGTTCTCAACTTCCCCACTAATATGTCCTCGATCTTGATTTTATTTACGGAAGTAGGTGACGTTCTGCCAATATCAATACAAGAATTTAACATTTGTGCTTAATATTGATTAGATTTGCTACCTTATGTTTTTTCATGCAACCTTCGAGTTGCTAGCTACTAATATGCCTTAGTATATTAGAAGTAGTAGTATTTTATCAATGTATCGTATTAACACTAAATTATGTCGAGTGAGCTTCATAATTTAGAGTGAGCTTATTATGCTTCATACCAATATAAGCGAAAAATATCACATAAAAATGAAAGCACAAAATCTTTTTAGTTATTTTTTCATTCAAATTTTCTTTTCTTAAAACATATTTTTGAAATATTCCAGTAATTTTATTTTTCTTAATTGGGCCTGCACCTTTTCTAATGATTCATTTACTAATTATCAACCATTGATTATTATTTATATGAAAATGCATTAGATTTGTTAAAAAAAACTGCAACTTCACCAACGTTTGAATCGTTAATAGATTGAATCTCGGTTCTTAACTTTTAGAGTTCTTAAAAGCTTGTTACGTTATCTGAAAATTACAATGGGTCGTTCCCCCTCGTTGCGCTCTCAGAGAGATCTCAAAACTTGATCTTTTGTGAGCCGCGGTGTTCTGCCAGCCCGGAACACTTTGATGCTCCGTGCGTGACTAAGCATTGATTGGGAAAACGCTCAAACGTGTCAACGGCCTGAAGGAAAACTGAAAGAATATTGACGTATACTGTTTGTGGTATTAGATTTTTCATTTTAAAAGCCAGTCAGTAATTACTGCATTAGCACAAACCTAAAATGTTTTTTTTAAATCTTAGAACATTTTCCGGGTTGTTATTATTATATAAAAAATAATAACAATTTTTTAATGTACTTAAATTCATTTGTATTTTTCGATTTTTTTTAATTCGTGTCTTTCTTAAGACTAATAATTTTTTTAAGCATTTTTTTTTTAAATCAATGCCTACTAGAGTTATTTTTAGTATAAATTTTGAATGGACGAGTTTTAAAGAATGATTTTTTGTTTGTGATTTGTGTTGCTTTGACAACTGTTGTAATGATAATTTTTATCTATTTTATTAATATTCCGATATCCCATTTTGTTGGTGGATTATGTTATGAGAAATATCTTAAGTAGTACATTGTGAAATATTGATTTTGGATACAAGCTATTTCATTCGTATTTTAACATCAGAAGAATGTTAGATAGAATTTTACTAATTTGCTGTTTATGGAACAGATAGGTAATGACGTCAGTCATTCCTTTTTTATTTCATTCCGTCATCAATCACCTTTTCATTGTTGTATGCTTCTAATGAAATAAGATCAAGAATGAACTAACTCATTCAAGTAGCAAAGAAAACTGAATTAGAGGAACAATATAATTTTACATACCAAATTTTCATTATACAATAATAAAATTGTGTCTATACGCTGAGGTGGCTGAGGTGTTATCTTGATGTTATAATTATTTGTGTATCTTTACATTAGATATATTTTTGGTACTATAGTGAGCCAGTGATATGTATTCTTTTTACTGTAAATATTGGTTTCATGAGATCTTAAAACATGTCGAAAAATAGTTTAAAACAGTGTATTTTAATATGTTATCGGTTTTTACATATTTATAATGTCAAATGAGGTGACTCTATTGCAACAAATTTTGTGAAGTTGCTTTGCTTTTGGTGGGATTTTCTGTCTTAATAAGGAGGTGAATTACATGATCGTTTTTATCGTACTTATATAATACAACTTAGGTAGTTGGACCGAAATAATAGTCAAATCTAACTTAGATTGTGTAGCTTGGTAATTTCATTAACTCCTTTTTTTGAGTAAAACTCCTTTTGAGTAAAGAACATAAGGTTGGGAATAGAAAAATATATATAATATTTAATACGTGTATAATTAGGGTTTCAAGATGTTGGGGATTTGAGGACATAGAAATTGTAGGTGTGGGAAAAGAAACGATGTCATGAGGAAAGGGATGAATCGGGTAAAGGAAGTGGTCCTTACCCCTCGGCCAGAGCAGGGCCAGCAGCAACAGCAGCAGGCCCGCGGGCGCCGCCAACAGCGAGCGGCGCGCCCGCCACCCCATGTCAGCGCCGCGAGCAGGCCGCGCCGCGCGCCGCCGCCGCCGCCGCCGCCGCCCCGCGCCGCGCCATCACCCGCCCGACGACCGACGCGCGACACCGACCCCCGCCTCCCTACGCCGCACTCCCGCCTATTCAAACCTATCCAATACGATACCCAAATTTTCAGTTTTCATAAATCGAATTCCTTTCACGACCGCTCGCCGACGGCCACGCGTGCCGTCCGATTATTGAGCATCGCCGGCGCGCCGCGGGTATGTTGTTTGATCACGGCGCGTTTTTGAGCATTGTTGTTCAGCGGAGTGCGGCCGACCGTGGGGCAGCGGAGCCGCCGGTGTGCGGACTGGCGGCCGCGCAGCCGCTGCCGCCCATTCACGCGCCGCCCGCCCGCACCCGCCCGACCTTGCGCACCCCGCGTCCCGCTAGACCCAGCGCCTCATGTAGCCCGCCACCGCCTACTATTATGCTAATTATTTGGCCCTTTTCAAAATTTGCCTACCTCTCATTTTTCACTTCTGCTCTAAGTTTGTTACCCGTGGACACTTTCGTCGTGCTCCTGAATTTCTGATATTGAATTTTATTCAATTACCAAATTATTATTTTCATTTAAAAATAAATAAGGATGATTTATGTTATGAGTTATTATTATATTAAACGTCAATCTGTTATTGACTTTAACATTGCCCAAAAAAGAGATGTTTAATGAATAATAGAAGAAAACGAATTATGTATTAGCGTGGTATTATTCACTAATTAAAGTACAAAGCTTTCCTTTATTAGAGTTAAGATTTCGTTAACTATTAGGCTGAGTTACCTTCACAACAAATAAAATATATCTTTCTACTTTGTAGTAAATGAAATTTAATCAGTATTATTGTTGCTTTATGTAAAAGTAAAGAAGCGCCAGATAGCTTTACACTATTGATATTATTGTTTCCATTTTGGAGTCTGAAGATTGTGATGGGTTTTCAAAGCGAAGTGATTAGAGGCTCAAGTATTGTAGTTGTTCGGAGACTGCGGGGATGCGGCGCGGACCAGCGCGGGGATGCTGCGCGTTGCCGATCAATGAGGG